TCAGGTTCTAAGGTGGACATGGAGTCTGCTTGAGATTCTCTCCCTTTGCCCCTCCCCACTCCCTCTCAAAAAAAAAAAAGTTCTTGTGTTTCACATGTTCTTGCTGAAAGAGCTGGGTATTATTGTTGGTAGAAAGATTGTATTTACTTAATTACATACCAGAAAGGAACTAAAGAAAGGACAACAAAATAGGTAAAGCAAAGTTGAATGAAAGAAGGTTATAAACAAAATAACACTGTCTGCAACCACTTCGAAGACAGGCAAAGTGCCTCTATGCTGTCAGAATGCAAGGTAATGCTTTATATTGAGGAACTGAAGGTGGAGATTGGGAAAGGCATGGGGGGGGGCTTCTGAGACTCTGCTAATGTTCTCTGTCTCATTTGATGGCTGATTACACAGGTGTGCTTTTTCTATTCAAGACATAGACTATGCATTTTTATTTATTGATTGATAAATAATTGAAAGACACAAAACCAAGATGTAGAGATTTTAGATGTGCAAAGACTAGTTCTTAAAAGGTGTTTTTCATGGAAGAATTGTTTTACTCACATTCATTTTACAAGAAGAGGGCCACAGCAGTGTAGAAAGCATCTATTCGGAAGGCCCTTGAAGCCCATCATCTTTCAAAGATAGAGTGGAGAGAGGTAATTGCCATTCGCTGGGAGAAAGTGAGGTCAGAGATGTTGAATCACCTCAGGTGAGGACACCACGTTGGCTCAAATCAGATGATTCTATAGCCAGACAAGACCTGAGGTGTTTCCAGACTGCTGGTTTTCTTGGCTTGAAAATGAAATATTTTACTTTTTCCTACTCCTACAGTTTTATAAATCAGATCTGCTGAATTTCAGAAGTTTAAACTTTCGTATCTTTAAAGGCTAACCGAGAGTTTTAAAATGTTAACATTTCTGACTAAAATGATACTGCCTTGAACTATGCCCAAAATGGGAGTAAATGCATTCAGATGTATAAATGCAAATTCAGAAAGTAAGACCACATTGTGTTAAAAATATTCAAATTATTTAATCCCAAATTCCATTTCTATTTTTCTTAATAATCATAAACAGACTTAAGTAAATATATTTTGAATGGTTACGCTTTTAAATATTTTTCAAATATTTTTGAATGCTTTTTAAAAGCAAAGAGTTATAAAATGTCTTGTATTGAACCATGGTTATAAATATGGCCCATCCATAATAAGAACAATTACATATATTGTAAAATCACGTTTTTGAAGAGTTATTGATGTGGTAAAAATGTTACAGAATAGTATTTAATGAAGGGTGAGACATAAAATTGATGTAGAATGGACCTATTATTTAAAGAATTAAGCAAAACTAGTATTTGTAAGAATATAAAAAGATTGGAAGTATTCATCTCTGTAGCAGAAAACTATGTCATTGTTTCTTTTAAAAAGATTTTATTTATTCATGAGAGACACACAAAGAGGGAGGCAGAGACACAGGCAGAGGGAGAAGCAGGCTCCTTGCAAGGAGGCTGATGCAGGACTCGATTCTGGATCCCAGGATTACACCCTGAGCCAAAGGCAGATGCTCAACTGCTGAGCCACCCAGGCATCCCTTCCATGTTCTTTCTAAAGAAATTCAAGTATACAGAATAAAAAGGGAAAAATTCTTTTTCTTCCAGCTCTGCCCAAGACTAATACAGAAATAATTAGAAAATATCATTCCCTTTCTATGTATTTATAAAGGTATATTATATACACAGCTCTTCTTAATGGTGAAAATATTCTTAACTTTCATTTTCTTTTAATCATATATTATGAGCAACTTTTTGAGTCTACCTCATTCCGATATGGCTTTATCATAATTTATTCCACTAGACAATTTAAAAATCTGTCTATTCCAGTTTCATTATTAACAGAATGATCACTGCACATGTCTGTGGGCACACCTATAGAGTGGGTTCCAGAATGGAAGTGCTGAGTCAAAGAATATGAGATTTTTAAAGTGTTAATATTTATTGTGAAGTTTTAGCTCTAAAGGTCATGTGATTTATTTGCACATGCTTTGATTGAGCGTCTTTCCATATTGTCTGCCCATTTTAATGGACTTTTCAGTCATCTTGGATTTTTTTTCACTTTTTCGTTATTTATAGATGCTCTTTATGTTGATTATTTTTATCAAAAATATTTTCATCTAATCTGTTGAAACTCTGATCCCACATATATTTGGTATTTATTACTCATGTATGAATGCTTCAATATGAAAAAACATGTTGACATTTTATAATCAGATTTTGGGGTTTTATTCTGTTACGCTTTTCCCATGCCTGTTATGTAGGTATTTCCTACATTTTCTTTCAGTGTTTTCATTATTTTAACATTAAATCAAGACTTGTGACTATCCAGAAACTTTTATTTATTTTGTTAGTTTTAAAAATACTTAAGATGCTTTTTTCTTTTTATTTGAATATAGTTGACAAACAATATTACATTAGTTTCAGGTATACAGCATAGTGATTCAACTCAATACATTATGCCAAGCTTACAAGCGTAGCTACCATCTATCACCATACGCTATTACAATACAATTGACTGTATTCCCTATGTTGTACCTTTTATTCCGATAACTTACTCATTCCATAATTGGAAGCCTTTATCTCCCACTCTCACCCACTTTGCCCATCTCCCACCCCCTGGCAACCATTTATTCTTTGTATTTATAGGTCTGTTTCTTGTTTTTGTTCATTTGTTTTGCTTTTTAGATTGCACGTATTAGTGAAATCATATGGTATTTGCCTTTGTCTGACTTATTTAGCATAATACCCTTCAACTCCATCCATGTTGTCACAAATGGCAAATATCTATATCTATGCCATATTGTCTTTATCTATTGATACAGTCCTTGCTATTTGAACATTTTCCCCCTTCATGCTTGCTTACCTTAAAATCACTATCTCAAATTGTTTGGGAAAAAAATATTCTGTGCTAGAAAATGTTAAGTATTGAGTATCTTACCAGTGCTACTTTTTATAATTTAGAAAAGTGATTTTCTGGAGTTTCTAGATGTTTATTCATCTAGAAAAAGTGCTATTTAAAAAAAAAAAACACTTGCTTGAATTGTAGAGACATATTTTCATTATAATTTGACAGAAGAACATAGAGGAGAAAGAGTATTAGGTGTGGGACTCAGAAGATGGGACTTTTACTTCTATCTTGGTCACTAACTTTAAGGCCTTGGACAACTCTGTGCCTTTCTAGCTCTGTGTGCTCACCTTTGATATAGTGAAAACAAAATCAGATATCCTCCAACACACTTTTTGTTGTTTCCCCAAGGTGAAGGGGAAAGTCTTTTACACATTGACATATAAAATTAAACATGATATATATGAAATAAGACATAAAAATTGACATAAAATTTTTATTACAAATTGCATGTCATTTTCAAAATTTTTACCTTTAATAAATCTATTTTTGTCAAAATATCAGGTACAGATTTAACTTATTTCCACTTCTGAAATATGCCATGTATCCTAATTGGCAGTCAGCACTTATCAAGTTAGATGGCCAAATTTATGTTCGGACTAAAATTTTCCATTTTTTTCAATTTAAACAAACACACTTGCATGTATTCTAGGATGTGACTACCATTTCATAATACTAATTTTTAGGTAGGGGGAAGAAGGGTAGCTAGATAATGGAGGCTTGTCATGAATTGATAGCCTGGAAGGTATCAGACCCCTCTCCCTTCAGGTTTTTGCTTTTCTTTCAAACGTCTATCCTAGAAGAACAACACATTCTAGAATTGTCCCAGTACCAGCTGGTTTTCATCTCCAGGGCAGTGTACCATAATTGGATGAGGCATTAATACTTTCTTTTATAATATAGGGAAATTGTGAACAAGCAGACTACAAAAGAAATCTAGTTCGGAAGAGGGGCATCGCTCAGCAGAATTTCAAGAAAGGATAGACATACGTACAACCAGGGGTATTCTAATCACTTCAAGGTGCTGTAAAGCTCTTTCTTCCTGGCTTAGTTATTCAGTCATTATTCCTGTGTAATGAAAATGACATTCTCACATACAGAGGGTTTTTTTCAAAAGGATCTATTCAAATTAATATTTCCCTAATCCATTGTTGGGACAGAGAACTTGACAGTGCTCTAATGGGGAGAAAGGAATCAATCAAAGGCTGAGTGTTTAAAATATAGGAGGAAACCATCATGTTCAGATTTAGGTGTGTAGTTGTCATATGGAAAAGATTCCCTTTTCTTCCTGAGGACAAATAGATTGACTAGAAACATCTTTTGATACAGGATGGGGACATGACATGATAAAGTTCTTTATACACTTAATTTGCTGAATGTTGTTTGGCAAGTATCCTCCTTGTTTCAACTCTTATACTTAGATAAAACGTCTTGGAGATAACCATTGGTTGCCCCAATAGCAACAGGTGCATTCCTTAAGTTTTTCAAGAGTTAAGAAAGAACCCTGTAACAAAACTAAGAGCTTTCCCAAACAGTAAGATGTTTCCACATTGTTACTACTGAGGACAAGATAATTTAAAGACAAAACTCACCTAGTTATAAATATAAACAAAGATCTTTACATATGTATATCAATTACCCCTCCAAACAGGGAGGAAATAGTACTGAGAAAACATGAGAAGTGTGGAACTATATATTTACATACCTAATGATTATAAAATACTATCGCTTCATGGTATTAGTGCTAATGTGCATGTATTTTGGGTTGATTTTGCCCATCTAAGTACTAATCTGGCCCGACCCTGCTTAGCTTTTGAGATCAGACAATATTGAGTGTGTTCAGGATGGTATGGCTGTAGACTTTTGGGTCAATTTCTATTGCAGTATGAAGAAGAATGAAATGTACTACTTATGATGGTGAAAGAAGCAGAGTTGTTTCTATAGATGACAAATGTAACCATTCACAATTTTGGTTGGAGGGAAAAAGCATAATGATGAAAGGTCATCTGTGTAAGAAGTCATGTGCACTAAAGAAAGCTCTGAGAATAGAAGCCCAGATTTTTAAAAAGCCATTTATTTTAAAAAACTGGTTTGTCAAATCACATATACGAGCAGATACACAACTACCAAAGTGGCCCTGTAATAGACACCAGTGGGGCGTTCACCACACAGTACCTGAAAAATACAGCTAAAAAAGAGGAGTCTGTTGAGTATTTAATTTCAGATACCTACTTGACTCCTTGTTGAATGGCTTTAAGTTAGCATATAGTGAGTGAGAGGTAGAGTCCCAAGTATAATAGCTGATGCCTCAGGGCTCCATTTAAAAACAAAACAAAAACAAAAACCATTTCCCCCTCTGCATGAGGGAAACCTATCCTATTTTTTTTTCCTTTGTGAAAACAGAAGCCAAGTTTCTCCTCTCAAATGGTTCAGCATTCCCAGTAAAAGTGTTGTGTGGTAGCCTAGGTATTGTGCTTCTTGAGCCATCTAATTTTCTTCACCTTCCGATTCAGATTCTGGGGAGAGAAGAGAGAGAAAAGTCAGGTTTTTTTTATTAAGAGATTCCTTAAAAAAATAAAATAAAGATTTACTTATTCATTTTTAGAGAGAGAGAGAGAGAGCAAGCACGGGGGGTGGCGGAGAGACACTCATCAAGTCTGACTCCCCGCTGGGCGCAGATCCTGACCAGGGCTCCATCTCACAACCCATGAGATCATGCCCCAAGCCAGAACTAAGAGCCAGAAGCCTAACTGATTGAGCCACCCAGGCACCTGTCCTTTTAAAAAAAAATTTTTATTATGTAGTGCTCGCTTTGGCATCATATATACTAAAAAAAAAAAAAAAAAAAAAAAGTAAGTTGTAGGCCAAACATGGGACTCCAACTCATGACCCTGAGTCAAATGCTCTGCCAAGTAAACCAGCCAGATGCCCCCAGAGATTCCTTTAAATAAAGTCATGGAAGAGTTTCTAATCTGCCTCACACCCCAACCTCCCAAAGAAATTTTCTTGCTACAGGCATACATTTACTAGGGAAGAGAGTCACACGAGGGCAGTAGCAAACTGTTTTTTGCTTTTCAATGAACTTTGCCTTTCTAAAAATGTACCATACTCATAAATATTATTCTTTCACTGAGTACTCCCATTGTAAGTACTAGTGAACTGGTTAAGGGGTTATAAAAACCTACATAATCCCATAATGAGTAATGTAGCCAATTTTTCCCCCTTTCACAAAAGCCTGATGATTTATTCCTTTGTTCCCCATTAGGATGGACAATTTAACAGGTTATCTCTTTTTTTAAACCATGTAGGACATTTCATTGCTTTCATTTCAGAAAGGAAGGCTAAGTTTGTAGGCAAGATGTTCGATATTGAAAATACCCTAAGAACTTTAGTTTTAGGAGAGCCAGAAAAACCTGTGGGAGAGGTAGATACCTTTAATTATAACGAGAAAGTGTCTGCTAAAATGGTTGTTAAATGGCATCATACCTTCTTCTGCGTTTTGTAGCCACTCAACGAATTTCTTCATCTGGTCAAGAAAGACACTTTTGCCTTTGGCAACGTGAGCTTCCTTGTACCATTTCAGTATTGCTTCTTCACTCAGTACATCAGCTGCAATTTCAAACCAAAGATTTCAAAGTTACTACATAAATGTCATTTTTTTTAAAATGTCATGTTTTAAAGCAATTTTTGTCTTATAATTTAATAGAAACCAATCACTTTAAAATACTAAAAGCTCTCTTATAAAACAAACAACAAACATATCTGAAATGTATCAAGATGAACAGGAATCAAGCTCATTTCCATATAGCAAACACAGTGCTGTATTTTGGGAGTTAGCTTAGCAAATACTTAAGTGATGAGGATGATGATGATGATGATGATGATGATGATGATGATGATATATCCCATCAGGTATGATATATTGCAGGCTCATCTGTGAGTCACTACTGGGACTTGGAAATCTTTCCCAGTGCTAATTTGCTGGTAGGAAAGTGGGTTATTTTGTAATTTTGCAAATGAATCAGCAATTCCAGCAATTCAGAACACTCTGTGTTCTGCCAACTTCAAACATGTCTTGATTAAGCAGTAACCTCAAATGACTGGTCTTTTAAGAGGATTTACTCTCTTAGGAGAGAAAAAAAAAAGGCAAATAAAAACACATAAGTAGAACGTAATAGTGCTATTAACAAACAAGTATGAAGATGAGCTATCTGGGTGTATCATAGGACCAATATACATGTTACTCAAAATTCTACATTTATTCTATCACAAAGTCATGAATTTCTTATAATATCCTAAATCACAAGAGCAATGTTTTCTTTGTACTCCATTAAGAGAAAAACAGGGACATTAGGTAGACTCTTATAGGTTTCTAGCAAAAAGTAGTATCTATTAACTACTCTACCTTAAATTCTAAATCCCACAGATGTGCCATGAAACCCTCAAGTTACCACTAATTTAGACTACTTAATGTTAGGAACAGGAAAGAGAATATGAAAATAATTGTCTATGTATTTTGCCAACATTCCAATGGGTTGTCTTTTGGGATTTCAGGGTAAGAAATGAGATGGGAAGCATATAAAAAGAATTTATTATTGTCCCCAACACCCACCCAATCCATTATAAATGCTGATAAATCACACTAATGAGGTTTTGCAGTTAAAATATAATTTTAACTTAAAAAAAAAACAAGCAAAATAATTTGATATTGTTTTCATTGAAAACTTCACTAATGTTTTCATAACCCAAACTGGAAGTCCTTTTCAAAATTAATTGGTTTGGATTCAGTGGAAGAGAGTGAATTGACTAAAAATGCACACAATTGATTGTAGAAAATATCAAGTTTGTTTTCCTTATTTTCATCATTAAATACACTACATTTTGCAAGGGAAGAAGAAAGTCTGGATTTACTCATTCATAAAAGCTGGGTGTAAAAATCATAATCAAGAGTCCTATAGAATTACTCTTAGCATCTCATCTTTTCGCTCCCATTCCCAGCTCCTACTCTTCTCTCACAATGATAAAAAGACTTTGGCCAATTGCCATCAAAGCCCAGTGTTTGCAGAGGTGAGGAGCACACAATTCATAGCTGAAGGACATGACTTGTTCTTGTGCAAGGCTGCTTTGCACAGATTTTTCAAGAACACTTATCGACTCAAACATGGATTTTTTAGTCCTTTTTAGAGAATTTTTTATGACATTTTTTAAGAGGCTTATGATTTAGATCACTCAATTTCCAAACTGTTTTGGTCATGCTTTCCTATCAGATCACTTAGCATGTAAATCTAACGTATGTATGTTTTTTTTACAGGCAAGCACTACAGAACTATTATTATAAAATAAACAGATTTTAAAATGTAACAAACACAGAGAAATGCTATTTTATCTCCTTACTTTAATGAACTATGTGTGATGCAATGCTCATGTTGGAAACCTGATGGAGACTGCACTTTTTCCCTCAGGTTTTCCTTCTGAAGATTAAGAGCTCCTCCGTGCATTTTATTGCCCCACAGAGGCTGCAAGAGGCCATGTCACTATTAAAATGCTGGTCACACAGACACTAAATCACTAGGTAAAACTTATCAGAAGCACTGTCCACAGAAAGTGAGACAAACTGCAAAGTTGAGTTCCTAGAAGAGCCTAATTTAGTAATGAATACTTGCTGCAAGACCAAATTTCTAGTACCAGGGAAGAAATCATAAAGAGGGGGCAAAAACAACTACACAGGGCAGCTTAGGAAGCAAAGCGCAGACATCAAAAAGTTGAAGAAACTCAACGTTTGTTTAGTGAAAGGCCTAATCCAAAGAGGAAAGAACTTCCTGAGGTACAAAGAGAGAACTTCCTCCCCTACTAAGGAAAAGTGGGGAGAGGAGTTCATTAACACTGAAGAACAACAGTGTTTGTCGGAATCTCCCAGAAATGCCTGCTAAGAATATAGAATATCAGTAAAAGTACAGTAAGAAAAACATTCTACAAGTGCATGTAGAATTCTCTCAGATTACAAAATATCTTCTTCCATTCTATCTGGCTTAATACTATGTGCCTCTAACATCCTATCTCACTTCTCATCCTCCTCTGTGTGAGTCTTATTTTAGAAATGAAATGGTGACTTTAATGCTTGGTTTTCTTCTACACTCTAAAATTTAGGATCTATTCTGTTCATCGTCTCATTCCCAGCATTTAATGGAAGATCTGCCATCTACTACGCATTCAATAAATGTATGATGCACAAATCCAACTTGATGAGAAAAACTACATATTTCTCAATTTGCAGAGTTATAATTTAAATGCTGGGTTTTCACTAGGATCAAAGAGAGAAGACTGTACAAGTGGTCTGAGAATGGCAAAGCTGTAGGAAAGATTACTTAGATATTTACGTTAAAATCTTATGTCACTTGCGGGGGTGCCGGGGTGGCTCAGTGGGTTAAGTGTCCCACTCTTGGTTTTGGCTCAGGTCAGGATCTCAGGGTTGTGGGATTGAGCCCTTTGTCAGGCTCCCCGCTCAGCATGGAGTCGGCTTAAGATTCTTTCTCCCTCTCTCTCTGCCCCTCCTCCCCACTTGTGAACTCTTGTATGTGCTCTCTCCCTAAAATAAATAAATAAATAAAATCTTTAAATTAAAACTTATGAAGTTCATTATTTTAGGGATGTCACATAGACATACAAGTCAAAAATAATTTACCTTAAGAATGCTATGGTGAGAAGGCCACTCACCTTTTTTTAGGATGAGAAAAGAAAGTTTCTTTCACAAAAATGTGCATGAGGGACAGAACTTAACCTCAGAAATATCTGCAAACCACACATTCCATGATAGAGGTACTAACAGGGTTTGAGAAGGGAGTTTTATATTTTTCAGATCTACATGCTGAGAATATGGTACGTAGCTTTGGGACAAAAGGAAGAGAAATTATATTAAGAGGTGACTAATGTCTGAAAATTAGTGATGGGCTTACTATCTTACTATTTTTCTTACGGCATAGAAATGTAAAAATCTAGATTTTAATACTGAAAGTGAATCTTAACTTAATGACCAATCTCTACTTTTTCTTTCATTCCAGAAGAGCACTATTATTTATAGTTTATTCACTTTCATTCCCTTGTTATTTACATGTTTGAAAAAAAAATCTTTCAATTTGGCATTCATTTAAAAATAATTAAGTTTGTCAAGGAGACAGGGCAAATCATACCCCCAAGTGTCTGTTATCCTCACATTCTAGAAACATTCTAGAAATACAGGGAAGGTATGTGTGTATATTAACAGAGAGAGATTAAAAGTGAAAGGAGAAATTATTTATTTCTATTACATTTTTAAAAACCTGCTTTAAAGCAAAATATTCCTTACAATAAATAAAGGGAATCCACATTACTACATAAAAGAAGCAAAACAGATACTATTTGGTATTTGTTGAATGTGTATGTGTACATGGAATTAAACAGAAGTATAATCTTGGAGCATGCATGTTATTATAGTTCATAGAATTTGTCAGTTCTGGCATTTTGTAACTCTTTAGACCACTGGTCCTGACCAACAGTCACAGCATCACCTGGAAATGTGTTAAAATGCAAATTTGTTGGGCTTGAACCTGGACCTTCTGAACCAGAATCCCTGGGGAATCTGTTTTAATAAGCTCTCTAGGTGATTCATATGCACAGTAGCACTGGGAAGAGTGCTTTAATACATACACACTATTCCTGAAGCATTTCTAGGCATATGAAATACAGAATAAGAACATCCAAGTCCTCGTAAAACAAAAAATGTACATCTCCTGGTGCACAGATGTTTGTTGGATAAAATTAGGTCAAATAAAAAACCACTATCCAAAAAAAGGTAAGAAGGTAAACACAAACTCTTAATAGTAGGGTGGAAAGATCATTCCTCGGGGATTCCATGTTTCCAAGAGGAAAAAAAAAATCTAATTATTTCATCCAGTATAATAGCCTATCTGTATAATTTTGTGGGAAATTATGAAACTACCTAGGAAATAACACTTAGTTTTCATTCCTCAGTGATGTATTTTCGGTTTCCATTTTATGGTTTCCTGATTTCATTTACGAAAATAAGCCAGAATAAAACTGATGTTGACACCTTCCTGTGTTCCCTTGGGTTCGCTCATACTTTCCACAGACCTGACTTTTAACTACTTAAAACCTGACCACCTAGTTAATCAATGGCCTTAGGAAGAGCTATTGTTTCTTCTTTTTTCTTCTTGGTATCCACTTCTCTGTTAATTTTATAATTCCAGGTCTCTGTTCTTTTGCATGTGGAGATGAAGAATAAGAAATCACTCAAAGCATCCAGTTTTGTTGTCAGTAGATGTTATAAGGAGTACAGTGGGAAAGAATGTTGACATTAATGGTTAAAATGAGAAATCTGAAAAAGAATTTTAATAGATGCTATTACTGACAAAGAGTAGTATGTGTATATGTGTATGTGTATGTGTGTGTGTGTGTGTGTGTGTGTGTGTGTGAAAATCAAGTTCAATAATAAAATGAAGTGCTCCTGCAGATAAGGCTCAAACGGTATGTCTCTGTTACAAAAAGATTTGGTTAGTTGGGTTAGCTTTTTTTAAATATAAATCTATTTTTTATTGGTGTTCAATTTGCCAACATATAGAATAACACCCAGTGCTCATCCCGTCAAGTGCCCACCTCAGTGCCCATCACCCAGTCACCCCCACCAACCCCCGCCCACCTCCCCTTCCACCACCCCCAGTTTGCTTCAGTTGGGTTAGCTCTTAAGTGACAAGAAAGTAAACTGTGTGCTTAGGCTAGAAGTTTACAAACAGTTTGCTTTTCTATAGGGGATAATCCTGGCCACTCACAAAGCAAATGTGAAACCTGTCTCAGAGGTCTCTCTCTACCAGCTTACAGTGAAGTGAACAATGGTTAGTGTGGACAGAGTGGCCACGGGCTGGGTGGGCACGGTTTCTCTTTCTTGGCTACTGGGTACCGCAGGTGGGTAGGCATATATGACCCTCAGGTTGGGTTCTGACAGGTCACCTTGGGCATCCTCTAAGCCCTAGTTTTAGGACATCGATATCTCCTGACACCATGTCCAAGAGGACCTAATTCAGATCTGGCCAGAGAAACATACCAAGTACTGAACTTCAAATGGGACGTGGAAGCACATACTCCTACTGATATAAAAATTGTGCTGAATACCCTCATGCTGAGAAAGTAAAATATTACCCAAACACTTGTAGCCAAGATATGTGCATCTGAAGAATCTGTATAATTAGAACTCTGTGAAATGCTTGAACATTTTAAAAATAGCTATTAATCAATAATATAAAATTCTTACACTCCACATGCCCAAATTATCATTCAAAATAGACAAATTTAAAAACACATAGAAAGGAAAAGAAACATTTAGTTGATGTTGATCATTTTATAATGTTCAAAATGTATCATTTCTTAAGTGCTCCTTCTTCCCCCCATAAAACTATGTGAACTCAGAACAAAGAATAGCCCAGGATCATTTTTTGTATACTACAGGTATAGAAAATGAGATCAGTTAACACTCTAATAGTGTTCACTTATTAAAGGCAGTGCTAGTTGTCATGACAACCTAATCCTTCCAAATACAATGAAAAGACAGTAAAGTGAAAATTCTAAAAATAATCATTTCCATGAAGAACAGGAGAATGGCTGGACCAGATAATTAAAATACAAAGTAAAAAGCTAATTATTTCAGTAATTTCAGTCAGCTTTTTAGCATCTGAGCAGGTCTGAATATACTACAGGCAGCCCTCACTAGTCACTGTTATTAGAGCTAATCCTTAAAATTCAAAAGCAGACCTCATTACTTTTTGTTAGTACAGTCTTTTTCACCATCCCTCCTCACCCAAAATAATAACCAGTTTATCATCAGCCTTCTGGCAATGGGCCCAGGGGCCTAATCATGCCTATATGGCATTTGCACTTTCTCTTTTCACATAATATGGTTGCCTCACTAAAACTTGCAAAAATTAGCATGAACCCCATTTCTCTCTTTGCCTCCCCCAACCCTGTGCTGGGCCTCAAAGAGCTTCAACAAAACATGGAAACGTTGTAGAGTAACATGGACAGATACCTTTATAAAAGAGAACCACGATCTTCTGAAAAGCTTTCATGAAATGGATGTTGTCGTAACAGTATTCTTGAACCTTCTGGAGGAGGATCAGTTCTGACTGGCCCTGGGAACTAAATACAGCCAGCAGTGGAGCATATTGCTGGAACAGAAGTGGGGAATAAGACCAACCATTAATTTTCATGGGAAGTACAGGGCCAACCATACTTGAATCACAGCAGGAATCTGGGGGATTTGCTTAGAAAGCATTTACTTTTAGGATTATAACAGTGTCCAATCAGAATTTATCTTTTATCTTAGCGTCATATCAGATTTCTTCACTGTACCCACTAAAAGAAGAGATCAAATATGAAATTCTGACTTTATTAAAGGCCATGTACTATGTCATCTACTGGGCACTATAAAAAGAAAATAGAGTGGTCTTGGAGTGGCCACATTCGGTATTGGTGGTGTTTTCTTTTCCATATATCCCAGACCCACCTCACAGGTCATCTTTGTGGTTTTGTTCATTTTGTTCATATTGCTCCCTTTGTCCCAATTGTCCCTGGTTTCCGGTCCCTGATATATAGCCACCGTTTTCTCTTAAAACCTAACTAACCCCATTCACAAATTTCCTCCAAGGAGCTCTCCCGGATCAAGTTAACCTGCAGATTTTACTCACTGCTCTGTTCTAAACACTGAGAGTTCTTTAATTTACATTCTACCTAATTTCTACTAGGTAGTTTTTGACTTACTAGTTCAAATGTAAACTCTGAAGGAAGGATCTAAGTCTTTCACTCATCTTAATATAGTTTTATAGGGAGTAAACAAGCAAAAACATGTATCCATGAAAAAAACATGCAATTTACACAATGAATTGACTTCGGACCAATCAGACACTTCTTAAATTCTAATGCCAATCAGTAGTCTACTTAAACAAAATTACCAAGAATTTTTGTCATGTAGAAAAACAAAAACAAAAACAAAACAATAGGCCATATTTTTCTTTAAATACTGAATATGATTATTCTGTGAATTTTCTGACATTGTGTTTATTTTTTTAAGGTTATTTATTTATTTATTTGAGAGCAAGAGACCATAAGCAGGAGGAGGGCAGAGGGAGAGGAAGAAGGAAACTCCCCACTAAATAGGAAGCCCAACACGGAGCTTGATCCCAGGACTCTGGGATCATGACCTGAGCCAAAAGCAGACGCTTAACTAACGGAGCCACCAAGGTGCCCCCGACATTGTGTTTAGTAAGAATTTACTCTTTGATATTTCATAGGCCCTTACCTCTGAGACATTTTAGATAATGGCAAATTTGAAATCAAAACAAAACAAAACAAAAAATAAAATCACAACAATAACAAAATTAAAGAAAAAAAATGGACATCTATCTTTGGCCTAAACCTGGGTGAAGTGCAGTTAGAACCCATGTGTCAAATGTAGAGTTGACAGCTGCCATAGGTCTGCAGCCACGACTGTGCCCTCTTGAGTCTGTACCTTCAGGTGCTTAAGGGCCTGCTCCGCAACCAGTTCTTCCTTCTTGTTCCATTCAACAGCATTCATTATACAGGTCCACAGAAGTCCAATCACTGCTGTCTCTGGAAGATCATTCCTCTTCATTTCTTCTTTGACGTAGAGCACCACCTACATTTCAGGGAGGAAGGGGTCAAACAGGAACAGGCAGATAGGATGTTCCCTCTCACTGTGCCTGGTCAGTAAAAGGTTTTGGGTGGATAAATATTCTGCTCAGTTCCTCTTTTCCTGGGACATATTCTCAGAGGACAAGAGGGAGGAAAAACACAATGATGTGTTCTCAAAGCAGATTTATTTTTAGTCCAAAAATTAATAGGCTCAGCTCTGGCCAGGAGCTGCTGGGTAGTAAGAAATAAGAGGGAATCTTTGTTCCTTAGGAGTTAATTCTTTTACATGCAGCAACCCCCCTTGGGTCCAGCAGAGCAGATTACGTGGGCCAATTTGATTCTCTCATGGGGTTTCAAACAAGGGGATGGAGCCGGGACTCTTTTCCTCCGATCCTCAACTCTCAACTTTAAACCCATTGATGAATGATGTCTTGGGTTTGTGCAAGTCCATTCACTATAATTTATTCCTTAATGATTACTTCTGATGACCCTGATTCCTTATGTGAATAAACTATAAAGTGCAGAGGCAATTTTTTTATATGATACATATTAATCCAACAACAGACAGGTTATTTTCTCCCTTAGAATCATGTTTAAATATGCAAATTTATCCTCCAATCAGATAGCCTGGAATAAAAGGTCTGCCTAGCTTAATCAAACTTGTTTAGAAAAGTCTTTTCCCTTTTGAAATATAATCATAAAGACAGGTGTTAGGTCCTCCAAAGTGATGAAACACCATAATCTCTATCAAGTATACTACTGCTTTTTGAATAGCACAACTCCCGCCCCGTCCCCACTCTTCAGTGAATACCATAGTTTTCTTTCCTCCTGGCTGGTGTCATAAATGGGTTAAGTGGCCTTAGAGAAGAGAGGGGACTGGGAGGTCCCAGTGCCTGAGCTGGCTGGAGGAAGCTGCCAAGATAGGTAACATCCTTGCATCCAGAAGCATCACAGTGTTATGATGTTGGTTTTGCTTTTTTTTCCCTCCATCGAAAAATCATGTTCAAGTTCTTACTTGGAGAAATGTTCCTGAATATATTACTGACCTTACTGCCGTGAGACTTAGAAATATTTTTGTCACAACACCTCCATCTGCTGGATAGCACTGGTCCAGAATTCTCCAGCCACATAAGGTGCCGGGTGGGGCTTAGAGCACAGAGTGCTAAGCACTTGGGACTTGGAAGTGAATGGCAAAAGGAAAGGACTTGATTTAATTTTGGATTATCATGTAAAAACTGTTAAAATTCAGATAGGAGGTTTTCTTCAGATGGGAGTTTTTTTTTTTAAAGATTTAATTTATTTATTCATGAGAGACACACACACAGAGAGGCAGAGACACAGGCAAAGGGAGAAGCAGGCTCCGTGCAGGAACTCGATCTCGGGATCATGCCCTGAGTCAAAGGTAGATGCTCAACTGTTGAGCCACCCAGGTGTCCCAGATGGGAAATTTTTTTAAAATTAAAAATATACAGTCATAGTTATACAAACTACCATTATAAAAAAAGGTAGTATTTACATTTACAGGGATACACAGCTATTGCGAGTATGATCAAATAAGCCACTGGCCCAACTGCTCTTTTCCCAAGATATAAATTAAAAAACCATCAAAATTTTTTGTCTTAAAATTAAAAAAAACTACATATTCATACCCAGTGATCCCTGAAATACCCAGTGTTGATTTCAAATACTAACTATATACTTAGCCATATTATATTATCTGCGATAAAATGGAAAACCCACTCTATAATGGTGTATATGGAGTGTATGGCAACTCTATTTAACAGATGAACTATTCAGCTAATCACAGTAGCCTGATAAAATAAATCACTTGCGTGGAAATGACCATCAATTTCTGGAACACGCTAGAGGATTCTGAATCAAAACTTTGCAATTAAGCTAGTTTAAATGGTATAAACAAATACATAAAATTCACAGAAGTAAACAAAGGAAGTCTCCTTCAGGAAGGTCAAGTCTGTGACACATGATGTTACTGCTCCCATTCATGTGTTTTGCAGTGATACAAGCCGATGGTTTCCTACCTCCTTTATTGGGCATTCCTGAGAAAGACGCTCCTGGAGCTCCTTCTGCAGCTCCTTCCTGGTGCCCAGGGACTGCTGGACTCGGAGGAAGTCGGAAAGCTCCTTTAGGCCTGCGTCAGTGAAGTATTTAGCAAAATGATCCACGCTCTGCCTATTAACTGGAAAGAGTTCCTGAAAGACAAAAGGACAAAGACTATTAAACAAAAAACTATTCATATTTCAGTAAGCATAAAGGACAACATTTTCATATTAAAATAGCACTCAGGCCATCTCATATTTGGAAGACCAGAACAAAGGATGATTGTCAAAAGAACAAATCTTGGGTATATTTCTTGAGCATTCGCTAAGCACCTTATATAAACTGGCTTCACTCATTGTGAACCAATATTCACTATCTCTTTCACTTTAATCAAAGTGTAGCATGTATGAATACAGAAGTAAACTTGCTAAATTAAATGCAAATAATATGATAACTTATGAGTTAAAAGGCAAAAGTCAGTTTTAATACTGCTGAGATGTCTTGAGATAACATTAGAAAAACAACATTGACTATTATCTCAAGAACCTCTATTCACATTCCGAGAAAATGCTGCTATTATTCTAATACTAGCTTGGAGCGAAAGAAAATTTTTGTCTATTAATGATGGTGGCTCTAAATTAAGTCACAGCAAGATCTAATCTAAACCAACCCTATCAACTCTTCAGTTCATTACACAATTCTGTTGGAAATTTTTAAAGAGAGCAGTATACCATGGCTGCTTGCATATTTTTACCTCATTTCCATTTTACCTTACACAGCTTGGCAGAGTCTCAGTAACACTTAGTCATGTTCTAATCCTGTGTGACTTTAACACCCAACTAAGATATTAAGACAGTTTTTAAAGCTCTCACATTTTTCAGACTGCTGCAGTCTAAAAAAATAGATCCAAACTTTCATGGTGGCTAGATTTGCATATGTATGGTCAACGGGCTATATTGCTCCAGTAAAAATCTCGGTGGAAAAATCTGTTAACAGGTTTGCCACCAGGTAGAGGGACAGAGCCAAAGCCTTCTATGACATGACTCAAATTTCAATATTCTCTATATCATCATCCCCAAACTTGTCTTGTTGAGTTCCGAGTTTCAAAATGTCAGAAGAGTTGATGGGAGCAGCTATTAAACACATATTCAGAGCAGCCCCAGTGGCTCAGTGGTTTAGCGCCTGCCTTCAGCCCAGGGTGTGATCCTGAAGACCGGGGATCAAGTCCCGCATCAGGTTCCCCACAGGGAGCCTGCTTCTCCCTCTGCCTGTGTCTCTGCCTCTCTCTCTCTCTGTCTCTCATGAATAAATAAATAAAATCTTTAAAATAAATAAATAAATAAACAAACAAACAAACAAACAAACACATATTCATGTTAAAGCAAACATTTCATATCAGACTGAAATTCTGGCACATTTGTTCTGTCATTGAAGAGGTCTTCCAAATCTGAGATGCAGGGAACTAATTTGAGCTTCTTCTATGAATCAAAATGTGATGGGCATATTCCTCATAATTATGTAAAGTAAAAATTTTTATAGAGGATGATTGAAGTCTCAACAAGGCTAAGGAGCTTGACTGAAATTATGTGGCCAGCTATATTTAAGGTCACAGCTGAGGACACCCAATTATTCTGTTACTCCACACAAATATTCAATATTCAATTTAGTAAGAATGGGACTGCAAAGCTTGATCTACCATTATGTTCAGAGCAATATATCATCAAACATATTACTGGTGGCTTATTTATGAACTATATCCATAGCCCTTATAAATGACACATAATATGCTGAAGATTATTATTCAGATTAAACCGAAGTAAAGTTGGTCTAAATCCTATCATGACATTTATTGGCTTGGAATATGGTTTGTGTTTGTTAGAAAAACCCTATCTAGGTACAAATGTCCATCAGATTAAAGTCTCCCCGCTTCTGCTCTTGCTTCTGAGTCTATTCCCAAAAGCAAAGCCAGAGTGATCCCGTTTAGACCCTAAACACAATTATACACAATTCTGCTGAGAATTTCCCAAAAGTTTTCCATCAGAATAAAAACCAAAGTTACTAGATGTTATCGGACCTGCTACATCTCTGAGCTGATCTATTCTTTCACTCTTACCAACCAGTGTCCCCCTTACTGCCCCCAACATGCCATGCCCCAAAACCTTTGCATTCTGTTCCTTTGCCTGGAGAACTCTTCCTAGAGATACCTAGATTGCTCACTCCTTACCTCCTTCAAGTCTTTACACAAATGTTACCTTATCAGAGACCTTCTCTTACCACTGAAAATCGCATCCTACTCTGACACTCCTTAGAGCTTCCCTAGTTCATTTTTTCCTCATAGCACTTTTAATTTCTTATTGAACTACATTCTTTTTTAAAGAGTTTATTTATTCATGAGACACACCAGAGAGAGGCAGAGACATAGGGAGAGGGAGAAGCACGCTCCATGCAGGGATCCTGATGTAGGACTTGATCCCAGGACCCCAGGATTCACAACCTGAGCAGTCGCTCAACCACTTAGCTACCCACGTGCTCCTGAACTACATATTTTAATGGTTGATTTAGTCTGTTGCCTTCCATCCCCTCTTTTCAGAGTTGCTATAATTTTTTTGTGCTTCCATATTACAGAAGTGGGTAACTTGAACTTTGAGATATGCTTTTTTTCCTAAAATGTACTAGTACAGTCAGAGAGAATTTTGTTGTGTTAAGGAAACAAAAAATTTCCTCTTTGATGGTGAAACTGAACCTCTAGTTTCCCCTTCATTTACTGAGTTAGCAAATAGCAAGTGGCACGGTCCACAGAGAAATACTCTGTTCTTATCAAGCTTACAGTGTTTCCTGTAGAAATGTCTACCTGTGCTTTTCATATCCAAAACATATGCCGACATGGAAACCTCGTAGGAACAGTTAAATAATATACTTTTCAAAAAGGAAAGACATTAAAAAAAATTAAGTGACTTAATAAAGTTAACCAAGCTCTGACTATTGGCATCTTTAAGGAATCATGGCTTAAGAAATAACTGAGTCTTTTGTGGCAAGTTATAATAGACTGTATATTTGTTCCCAATCATTTGCCCTCTCTCCTTTAAGTAAGTATTAAGAAAGCCCCTCCTTGCTGTGTCTGTGTGCAGAGGTGGAACAGTAGGTTACGACAGAATGAACCTTCCCACACACCCCACTTCTAGGCTTCACGAGGACTTCTTTCGGCCAGTAAGAGCTGAGCTTTTACTACACTGGAGTGATTCACTTCTATCTCCTGTGCTCCTGGTCCTTTGCCATGAGGACAGAATGGCCCACATGGGAGGTGCAGCTGCAGGCTAGGTCTCAGAATGAAAAGGTATATGGATCACAGTGGGACGTGGCCCAGATATAGCTTATCCACAGACCTAGGAACAAGAATATATTGTCTTCCCATGAAATTCCATTCAGCTTTGACACCTATCACTTATGTTTTCTCCTTCTGTATATAGGATCTACTTGAAGTCCTTGAGAAAGTAGGTTCTTTAAGGCAAGGAACTTTTCTATCCTGTTCTCTCCTGGCTCCTCAACTTCTAGGACCATGCCTGGCACAGAACAGGCACTCAAATATAGGCTGAATAAAACTTATTATTAGGGACACCTGGGTGGCTCAGCAATCTGCCTTTGGCTTAGGGCGTGATCCCAGAGTTCTAGGATAGAGTCCCATATTGGGCTCCCGACAGGGAGCCTGCTTCCTTCTCCCTCTGCCTCTCTCTGCGTCTCTCATGAATAAACAAACAAACAAACAAACAAACAAATAAATAAAACCTTTAAAAAAAAAACCACACACACAACTTATTATTAGCTCCAGAAATTAGCTAGATTCTGTATCTTTAAAATTTTCTTCTTAATCGTATTAAGACTTTAAAGACCCAAAAGGGCTATTTTAAGGTAAGCTTTAAGAGATAAGAAATTTTAAGTGATTGAAAATAAAAGCATTGGGGGACCCAGGTGGTTCAGTGGTTGAGTGCCTGCCTTCAACTCCAGTCGTGATCCCGGGGTCCTGCTGGGAGCCTGCTTCTCCCTCTATGTTTTTGCCTCTCTCTCTGTGTGTCTCTCATGAACAAATAAATAAAATCTTAAAAAAAAAAAAAAGGACAGTGAAAGCATTTATAGTTAAAATTATCCTTGGGTTTTCTGAGGGGAAGAGCCCACTTTTAGAATTACCCTACAGACAGGCAGATACCCTTGCGCACTGGAACACTTCAGAAGTGAAAAACAGGAAAGACCAGGTGAAGAGAAGATGATAAAGGTGTCTTTCAATTTTAGACTTTGTCCTAGATTTCAAAAGCAATGTCACTTGGAGAAATTTCTGTCATTTGCACATCTGTTGCTTCTAGCAGAAAGAAATTATAGTGAGCTGATAGAAATATAAGAACAAAATTTTTCTCTTGATTATTTTTTAAATACAAAGAGAAATAAAAATATAATCAAGTAATTGTGATCACAGAAGCTTAGAATCAACCACAATAAACTTATTTGCAGTTTATTGCAAATACCCAAGTATTTCCAAGGTATCTTGGTATAAACAAGGAATCCTGTTTAAACTGTTATTTTGTTAAGTTAACAATCATGTGAGATCAGTGTCATCCATCTCTAACCTAACACATAAATGTTTAATTAGGTGGGACTGATGGGACTTTATAATATTACAACTTAAAACTGGACACCTTAATTTTATCATTCCATTTATTTATAAAGATTAAGTTGGAATTAGTTTCGATCTGCCAAATATACAGAAATAAAAGGAACCACGCTCCAATTTAACATAGACCCAAGCATTTTGGTCATGGATCGACAAACCCACAACTGACACATCAAGCATACAATCCCTTGTCTAGACAACACTTACAAGCAGCCTCTTGTCTAAGTTGGCTTTTCTCAAAGAAGAGGTAACAGAGTTGGCATCTTTTTCTGCCATCCATGCTTTAAAAAGCTTGACAGCAAATGAGGCTGCAATACCTGTTTAAAAAAAAAAAAGAAAAAGAAAAAGAAAAAAAGTGAGAGTTTCATTCCTTTCATAAGCAAAACCACTTGTGATGATGGTCAAGGCCACCCTGCCCGTTAGGTTTCCTGAAATGAGTAAACTGCTCAAAGACTTGAATTGGTTGAGTACAAATGCATAGCTCTCTAGGTGCACTTCTCTTCTCTTCATTAGGCACAGTTTTATTTTCATTACTCAAGAGAGTATTTTTTATAAGAGGGAAAAAGTTAAAATATTTTTCAAAGTGGGACTCCCTAATCCCAACCTGGTATAATTGTAAATTTATTTATTTATTTTTACCTTGGTTTCAAACAGATTAAAAGCCCAGTACTTTCTAGTGCTTTTGCCTCCATTTCACTATGTGGCTCACTAATATTTTATGTGTGTAATAGTAATCCTGAGGTATAGCAAATAAAAAAATGAAATGGCAACATGTCAACTATTTTGCTGATAAATAAAACCAGTCAAAAACCATTGTTGGTGATGGCTATAAATACAGCTCTGCAAGAAAGTACATTATTTACTTTACAATTTTACTTTTTATAAAAAGCATTTGAAATACTCATGAGCTAAACTATAAAAGCATTGAGGCTGTTTCAAATTGAACTTTTTTCGGGATATTTTTAAAGAGATGACTAAAAGAGCCATGGTAATCAGAAAACCACTCGATTACATATCCATACTGACATTAAGATTTATTTCCAAATGTAAGTAATTAGATAACTAGTAGACAGTTCTCCTGTGAACACTTCAGATTTCCAAGTTAATGTTACATTTACTTAAGAGTTAAAATGTAGTTGAAATATTAAATTGATTTTTCTCAATTGAAGCTTCACTATTATTGGTCTAAGCAGCTCTATTCCCCTTTTCTTTTCCTAACAGTATTCTAACTTTGCTTAGGCCAGGTGACTTCTAGTCTAAGTCCTGGTACCACCTCCTTCTGCAATGATTAGAGACCTCATGGGTAGCTAATCTGTCCAGGGCATCTCCCTGGCAACTGCTACTGAGCCAAAACGAATCATGTGGCCTATGACAGCCAATTAGGTGAAAGCAAGATGAATTAATTATCCTATGTTGAGAATTACTCTTTCACTGAATCTGAACAAGAAAGCGTGTGCCAGCAGACATCTTACAATGACAAGGGAAATCATACTTGGAATGATGCTATTAAATGGTAGTGAGAAATAATGGGAGAAAATATCTGAGACCTGGATGACATTATTGTTCACCCTGAAGTCGAGGCGACTTCTATACTTTTTGTTACATACGAAATGTTCTTATATGTCAACAAATGTTCTTATATAGCAATTTGAGTCTTGTATTCGAAATTAGTTGCAAGTAAAAGCATCCAATTGATATATAATTTAGGCAAATGCCAACTTTATCCAGTTTTCTCCACTTGAGTAAGCAGAGGAACTAGTCAAAAAAGAAAAAAAAAATTGAAAACTATGGCTAGGACAATAGAACAGGTGCTATATGCTAGGGAATTTTATATTTGTTGACATGAATTTTTAATACTCTCAGTTCACCAAGTCAATGTAAAATTTAATATATATTTATGTCATTAAATAAAAAATTAAGATGCAGTATAATCTGTATTTCATTAAAAATAATGTTTTAAACCAGGAATGTAAATCTTGGCTTAAACCTATCACTTTGCATTAACAGTGGTTCCTATTGGAAAATCTGGGAAATTTCTCTATACTCAAGATTCTTCTGAGTGGAATAATCCTCTCTCCTTAGCTATTGTGTGCAGTTGAGAAAAAGGTGTAATTTATCAATATATTCCTATTGAAGAAGGAAAAGTTTAAGCCTCTAGCTTCTAAAGATGGTGGAGTGTCAGAAAAAATTATATGACACAAACACTATGTCATTTCGTAGCAAATGTATTTTTCTTTTCCCCCTCTTTCTCAAATTTCAATATAAAAATTTTCAAATATAAAGAAAAATTGAATAAATTGACTATAAACACTCATATACCCACTACCTAAATTTTATACCTGTTAGAATCTTATTTGCTCCATCACTGTCCATCAGTCTAATAATTTTTGATACATTTCAAGGGAAGTTGTAGGTATCACTTAGAATTTTACTACAACTAGAAAGAAAAGTATTTTTTTATGAAGCCTAGGATAATCTAATATAATTGGCATTTACTGTTTACATTTTACCTTGTTTTATTTAAGTGTAAAATGGCTCACAACATAAATAAGATGTGAAGTATCACAAATTCTCTTTAGGAAAACACTTTAAAATGTCATATTAACAACACACTAATAATCACAGAATCTGAACTGTCACAAATCTAAGCTATGTTAAGTCAAAAACTATAGAAAATCTCTAAATTAGATCACTTGATTCTAAATTTACTAATCTTTTTTCAGCTGCAAGGAAACTAGAATCCATTTCACTGTAAGCATGAACGAGGCTGGGACTTCAAAATTTATAGGAGAAAAACTAAGTTCTAAGAAGCAGATGTTTTCACAAAAGCTCTTTTATTTTTAAGAAAAAAATAACTCTTTGTTTTGTATGGCATTATAACTCGAATATCATTATCCTCCTCTAAGAGCCCACTTTTGTTTTATTCTATAACCAAGTGATTGTATATATGCTTATCAAACTCTTAGCCTTAAAATTAAAGCAAGACTTTGAGGCAACCATCTGGACGTTCTTTCTAAAACTGAGATAATGAATATCTTAAAATGTGATAAAATGAACATCTGAGCACAAGGTTTTGGGAAGTAATGGTTTAGAAGAATGGTCCTAACCAGGGAAATAACATCCTGGTGGGGGGTGGGGAGGAGTGAGCATTTGGGAACATGAAGGGGCCTTTTTTCATTATACTAGAGGTGGGTGCTACATGCTGGTATTTTGTGCCTAAGGGCAAAAAGGTTAAATTCCCACAAAGCACAATGAAGCATTTTCCCAGCAAAATATGCCAGTAGCAACTAAATTGAGAGAAATGGCTTAGACTACATCAACTTCAGGGTTATCTGACCTAGACATTAAAGTCCTACAGCCCAAATTTCAGGTTATTATTAGTTTTTATTTGTCTTTGTATGAGTGGGCATCTTCTGTCTTCCAGTTCCCTACAATAAGCACATACAATTCTTATTGTTTAAAGATAAACAGAAATTCTCTTACATGAAGGATGGCTGGGTAGCAGAACACAGTAAGAAGAGGTACTGGTATTTTTCTAACCATCCGTGGCATTACTTTTTATATCTGCCAGGTAAGAAAGCACGAGAGTAATTACCTTCTTTGACTAAGCTGTCGGTGAACAGACTGGTGAGGATGGTGGCAGGAAGGGTGCCATTGCCCAGCAGGATCCCCGACAGCATTGCCAACTTTGTCTGCTCTGTTTCGGAAAAGGCTTTAAGGAAGAGGAGAAGCTGTGGGTCAAACAAAAGAAATTATGTCTATAAAGCCAAGGACTAAAGTAGGAAAATAACAAATGGAATGTGCATGCATGGCTAGATGGCAAACAGCTAGCTGGTCATATGCAGAGCATAGTTATTATTCATTAGAAACACACACATATGCTCACTCGTAAACTGGATGCTAAGGAAAGTGATTTTCTCAGGCATGGTTCCTTTCTTCCAAGTTTACTTACTTACACATAGCTACAGATAACATCCACGGAAACAAAAAGAGACATTTGAACAGTGTAAATAGGCTACATAAAAAATTTACATTTGACTTTGTACAGGACAGAGGGTACATTTTACATAATGAGCATAGCATTTACTGATGTATATTGCTGTCCTTCACATTTTTCATTTTTGTGGGTATCCTGTGCCCCCACTAGATCTACCCATTTTATTTGGGTTTGTTAAGGCACAATAAACAAAAAACAGGAAAAAGTCAATAAGCTCTGACATCATCATAGACTTTTCTGAATTCAGAGCATATAATGTTCTTCAAAGCAAGACTGTTGAGTGAGAAAGGGGCTTCTTAAGTTCTTGATGCTCTTGTAAAAATAACAAGACTCAAACTTGGTATTTCTCGGATCATGCAGTTTTACCAGCCCTGGTGATGAGGTAACGGAGGATCTGACACAAGTTCTTAATGGAGAAAAGACTTCTGATGTGTTAGAAAGAGCAATTTTGGAGGGGTAATTGAAAAAGTAGCAACCCCAGAACGGCTAAAGGAAAACCTAAGCAAAAGCGATTATACCTCACTTCCCATTTTTAATTCTAAGAGTATTCAGTCATGTGCAACGTCCCCCTCTTTCCCCACCTAGTGCTTTGACTCTATTCCATGACTATCATAGTCCTTGAGCATGTTACCAAGATCCCCAGGGCTCAACATCACAACTGGGGCATTGCTGACTTTTTCATTACTTTGTACCAATGAAATTCCATTAACTCTGTGCAGCACGTAGAGCAATATTAATTTACCATCCCTGACAGTTATAGGATTATTACATTACAGAGCAGTTATGTGATTCTAAATGTTTATATTATGAGTAAGTGGCAGAACTGGAATCAAACTTGTCCATTTCACTCCCAGGTTATGCCTATTAAAGTCGCAAAGAGTTAAAAACAAAGTCACCTTCAAAATTTGTAAGAAAACAATGAGGGAATGAGAGCATCAATGGGTACAGCTCCAGGGAGCACCAGGAATGAGGCAGAGTAAAAGGGCTGACAAAATCATACACACCTCACATTAATCTGGCCTTTTCCTCTGATTGTAAAGATGATTAAGGTTCAAGTGGATAATGAAAGATAGTTTCCAAAATAAACTTTTAAACAGTACTTTTTAAGCACATCAATACACTTGCACTCATTAAAAATACTCATTTTAACAAAACAGTACAAAAGTTAGATCTTTTATAAAAGTAATATTCACATCGATCAATTATATTAATCAATGTTAAAATCAGATGCTGTGTGTATTCCAGAATGTTCCTTAAAAAATGGATATACCGTGAAAAATAAATCATTTTTGAAAGTATATTCATCCTATGAATGAAATAACTAAGAAAGCTTTCAAGGTGCCAATGAGCTAATAGAAGTAAAAACATGACAGGTAATACATTAGACAAAAGTAGTAAAGTGCTTATTTAAATGCTTTACATCATTTCCCCCCATTATTTCCATTTACTTATTTATTTTTTTTTAAAGATTTTTATTTACTTATTCATGAGACACAGAGAGAGAGAAAGGCAGACACAGGCTAGGGAGAAGCAGGCTCCATGCAAGGAGCCTGATGTGGAACTCAAACCCGAGAATCCAGGATCACGTCCTGAGCTAAAGGCAGGCGCTCAACCGCTGAGCCACTCAGGCATCCCCCATTTTTTAAATTTAATCAAGCATTGTTATTTTTCTAGGCACCTAGCAATGTAATGGACCACATTTTTTTCCATTTAAGTTTTTTCCTATTTAAAAAAGCTTAAATAAACAAACAAACAAATAAATAAATAAAGCAAGCAAGCTTTAGTACATGCAAGTAAGAATAAAATCTATCACCTCAGAATATAGAAATGTGATCTCCTCTCTAATCTGGCTTCCTTAGAATTAACATTATTAATTAACTGTTTGATAGGTATCCTTCCAGATTTTTAAATGCACTTATATAGGTCTAATATATTACAAATTATTTTATATATAAAAATGTATTGTTTCTACTGAATTATACGTTTGTAACAGCTAAAACTTGCCAAGGGTACCAGCTACTTTTCTGAGTACTTTGTGTGTTACCACCTATAAAAGCCTGGATCCTCATTTCACAGAAAAGTAAACTGAGGCACATAGAAACTGAGTGATTTGCTGAGAGGTTAAGCTACCAAAAGGTTGCTCTGCACCCTGTAGAATTTATCATGGATATTCTCCTTAACCAATTCAAGTGGCTACCCTTCATTGTTTGAAGAAAGATTTTACTGTCAAAATCTTCCATCATGTATGGATCCACTTTTTTTTTTTTTTTTTGGTATGGATTCACTTTGAATAGAGGGAAGTAAGTAAGTAGCAAAATAGATGTTATGGTTCCTTTATTCTCTTGGTTTATAATTCTGCAGTTATCTAAAACTGGAAACAATGATAAAGCAACATGCACATCTATAACAGGTTAATGTAGTGAGTGCTACATATAAATACACAAGATTTAGAAATTGGAAGAGGGAACATGTTGCAATTACTGAACAGAGCTCTTCCTTAATGAGGTACTATTTATTTCCATATGTACTAGAGGCTACTTACTCTATTAAACTACCTTATGTGTTATCTCATTTCTTACAGCAACCATGAGGTATGTCATATTATTGCAGCTATTTTACAGTTGAGAAACCTCAGTGAGATTGCCACTCATATATTATCTCCAAAGACATGCTTTTATCCCTTTGCTAAACTGTACTTTTGGAAATAAAATAATTTTGCTGGGTATTAGCTGTCCATATATTCTCTCATACGCTGTAACTGATTAAATCACCGTATCTAGACTCTTCCCTTGATATAATCATTTTTCTTGCATATTTGGAATCTCCAGTTTTTATTTTAAGCCCATATAGGTCAGGGATCAGATGCTATAAAATCATTTCTTGGAGCAAAGCATGCTATCTGACAGGAAACATGAATGAACAAAGTCTAAGTTAATCATGTATTTTTTCCTATAGTTATTAGCTAGTGATCTGTCATACTCATTCAACATTTATTAAAAACTTTACTATGTCCTTTACTATGCCCTGTTGCTGTAGATGCAAAATTTCCATCCCCTCCATTTAGTTACTTTAAGCAGATAAGGCATTACATTTGAATTTTTACCTTTTTCATTTCATCCTCAAATGCTTTTTCCAAATACTTATATCTCCTGATGAGTTTATTGAAGACCTAAACATACAAGAGAACCATTCAATATTAGGTAAATAATTTTAAAAGGCAATAGGTATAGAAACTCACAATAACCACAACATGGACCTCTAATAATAAGAAAAATTGTAGTTAAATTCAACCGTGTAGAATAAAAGAAATTCAGTCAAGAGTATAATAGGTAAGAAATAAAACATGACTTTGATGAAAATACAATAATGTTAAAACTGTGGGATGCAGAGATTGAAAACAACTGAATTGAATGGGGTTGCAGACAGAATCATATAAATCATGGATCTGATGGAGAGGAGAGCAGACCTCAGAGAAATTTGACTCTTGGCTGACACAAACATGTTTTTTGGCAGACAAGTAAAAATTGGTATAACATAATAGTTATAAAAGAAAAAAAAATAGTTATAAAAGATTACTGGCCCCCACAGTCTTGAGAACACTCATGCAGGGTTTGCAACTGTGTCAGTGGATTTCTGGGCTATTTTTTAAAGTGGAATGACGTTTGCTACGGACTGAATGTTTGTGTTCCTACTAAATAAACATGTTGAAGCCCTAGCCTCCAATGTGACTGTATTTGTAAGTAAGGACGTTAGGAGGTAGTGAAATGAGACCATAAGGATGGGGCGCTAATCTCATAGGGCTGATGGCCTTGTAAGAACAAGAGAGACTGTACCAGGAACTAAATTGGGTGGCACCTTGATCATGCCTCCCCAGCCTTTTGAACTGGAAATAATAAAATTCTACTGTTTAAGCCCTCCTTATTTTGTTATTGTAGCTTGAAGAAAATAATATAATGTTCTTATTTAAATAGAGATTTTATCAATATAATATTTTTCTAACTGAAAATGATTTCTGAATCTAATTCCTTTCTCTTAACATCCATATAATATACTCTCATCTAAAACAGTATATTTATTCCTTAATGTGATCAAGATGGAGTCCAAGAGTAAAAATGGCAGTGCGGTGTTGCCCTTTATGAAGAAAGGACAATGACCCAGGCCGGAAACTAGTATGCAATAAAGAAAAAGAACAAATGGCATTAAAATCCAACAAATTGGATTGGATTGGCACTGAGAGTAACAATGACTGTGAAAGAGTCAGTACAGAACAGGAACACACCAATCCTAGATTGGCTGTGTTCAATGCATGTATGTTCAGCTTTACAAGATCACATTTATCAGGCTGTTCGATTTTATAATCCCACCACTTCCTGACCTTATTATTATTATTATTATTTTTCTACCAATGTAACAAATGCAAAAAGATAGTGCATGATTTTATTTGAAGTTTCACTAATTACTAATAAGTTTGAACATGTCTTTATCTGTTTTGGGGGAGACCTGTGTTTCTTCTCCTCTGAAATGCCCATACATCTTTTCCTAATAAGGATGCTTATCCTTTTCTTACTGACTTGCAATTCTTTAGTTTAATCTGGATATGAATCCTTTACAGACTCTCTATATCACAAATACCTTCTTTCTCTTTTTTTAATAGCTACATAATAATCTATTAATATGAATTAGAAAGTTTTAACGAGTACTCTACTGGTAAGACTTCCATGTTGTTTCCACCCCATGATGCTAGTACAAGCATCACTGATTACTCCCACTGTCTGTGTCACTCTACACACATGCAAACATATCTGTAGGATGCAGTCCTAGAAATGGAACTGCTGGGTCAAAGACAATGTGTGATTTTAGTTTTAAAAGATAGTACCAAATTGCTCTCCCTAAAGGTTGTGCCAATTTATAATCCCATGAGAATTTATGCAAGCATCTAATTCTCTGTCTGTATACGTGAGAGGTAAGAAAACAAGTCTACCTTTGCGAAGTTATAATGCCCACTGCCTTATTATGAATGCAGTTGAGTATCTTTTCATATGTTTAAGAGCTAACATTCCTATTTAAAAAGTAGCCTGTAGAATTTCTGAACCTAATGTTTCCCTAACTCCTGCTCAATTGTGTCCCTTCTTATACAACAATCTCTCAATGATGGACTCTACCTGAGCATAATTTCGGATGGTTTCATGATCTTCATTTGCTGAAAACACACAGTGGTTGGTCATCTTGGTCTTGTCACCATCATCTATGCGTGTTCCTCCGGGGGCTGAAAAGGGAAAGGTGATTACTATGACAATTGCTGAAATGACAGGAGCATTTGCAGACCAGATCAATTCCTGCATATCAAGAACAATAAAAGTTGGGATCCCTGGGTGGCGCAGTGGTTTAGCGCCTGCCTTTGGCCCAGGGCGCGATCCTGGAGACCCGGGATCGAATCCCACGTCGGGCTCCCGGTGCATGGAGCCTGCTTCTCCCTCTGCCTATGTCTCTGCCCCACCCCACCGAGTGACTATAAAAAAAAAAAAAAAAAAAAAAAAAACCACAATAAAAGTAGATGTAAAAATCTAGAAGCACAGAAAAATTCATAGGATGGGGTGTCTTTGTAGATGCATATGTTGTTACATATTTGTATATGTTTCTAATACAATGTAAACTGGTTGTTCCATTTTATACTACTGCCATAGTGTGTGAGATTATTGTTCTACCAGGATACTATCACTAGAAGTCTGGACTCAGTTATTTTCAATGTAGTTCCTGATGTGTCTGACATTAGGATATGGTTCACGTTTTCCAGGCTTGATAACATTTTGCTGGACTCCAGGTCACCAACACCGAGGTTCACCAGACTTGGCTCTTGTAGCAGACCTTATGACTTTCTACTTGAATAGACTTGGAACGGTTCCCTTCTTTAACAAGGCAGTTATCCACACAGGGTTGAACAGTATATACTTTGACTCCTTGTTATTTGTATTTGATCACTTGGTAGCTATGCTAGCTAGGAAAGGGTATATTTTATTCTCTCTCATCTTTCTTCCTTATTTCCTACACAATGTCATGGAATAAGCAGACTAGAACAAAATAATGTCTTTTTCTATGACTCAACTTTGCACATTCAAAGCCTTCTCCTGTAAATTTCAATGATGGCCATTACAAACACTGGTTGATTAGAACAGAATCAACGCTAGATATTTTCATTTTCTGATTTTTTAAAAAAAGATTTTTATTTATTTGACAGAGAGACAATGAGAGAGCAGAAGCAGGGGGAACAGTAGAGGGAGGGAGAGAGAGAAGCAGGTTCCCCATGAGCAGGGAGTCCTACACCGGGCTCAGTCCCTGGACTCCGGGACCATGCTCCCAGCCGAAGGCAGCTGCCCAACCAACTAAGCCACCCAGGTGCTCCTTGTTTTCTGATTCTACATTGTAATTAGGGCAGGAAGTTTGAATAAGCCAAGTTAGACTAATGCCTTTTATACACTCAACAAATATTTGAAGAATATATATCAGCTACTTCTTTTATATAACTGCCTTGATTTAACTTGTGATTTCAGATCTTTGGATGAGAAGTGCTATACCTAGCCAATCTTTTTCATACTCCTGCATACAGTTTTTTTTTTAATTTTTATTTTTTTAAAGATTTTATTTATTTATTCATGAGACACACACACACAGAGGCAGAGACACAGGCAGAGGGAGAAGCGGGCTCCATGCAGGGAGCCCAATGTGAGACTTGATCCTGCACCTAGGCTGCCCTGCATACAGTTTTATAAGCAAATTACTTTTCAGAAAAGTCAGCTCGTTCAGAAATCTATTTTCATGCAATTAATTTATGCATGATTTAATTAGCCCTATGTAATGAATACAGCCACCTGGAACAAAATTTTATTAAGATGATAATCTAAAAACTCTGGGCTAATGACTCCTGTCTGACAGAAGTTACATAACTGAAAACTCTGATTTTGAAACTAGTCTTTTTCCTTAAGAGGAAGTTTTGTTTTCTAAAAAAAATTTTAAAAAAGATTTTATCTACTTATCTATTTGACAGAGAGAGAGCACAAGCAGGGGGAGTAGTAGGCAGGGGGAGAAGAAGAAGCAGGCTCCCCACTGAGCAGAGTACCTGATGTGAGGCTCAATCCTAGACCCTAGGATCATGACCTGAGCAGAAGGCAGATGCTTACCAACTGAGCCATCCAGGTCCCGTAAAAGATAAGTTTTAAAAACTGCATTATTTTACAAAACATGTTACACATTAATAATACTGCTATAGCTTGCATTAAATTTTTCACTCTGATTCTAGAACCAAATATTAATTGCTTTTTCTAAAATTTTGGTGGGCCTGCTGTTTTTCTCAAAATAGAAGTGAAAGAAAAAATATTTCTTGTATCTACTCTTCAAAGAATACAACTGAAAACCCATGAAGACTATTGTTTTAAGAACAATGCAGGAAGGTAAATTTTTTGTGTGGGTGTGAGGACAATTCCCATACTCAATAAGTAAACAAAGTGTTTATATAAAAAGACTATTCCTGGCTGGCTTTCTCCGTTACATCATAGGCCTCAACCTGGTAGGTATCCAGGGGTTGGACCTGCTGTGCTTTTAAGTCTTACCACATAGTTTACCCTACCTTCTTGGATATATGCATGTAGAGTGAAGAAGCAAAATTGGGGCCACAGTTATTAATTTGCTGATCATCATTATACAGATGGTGAATGAAGCTTTGAGATTATCAATGTGAAGTATACAGGTCATGTAAGGGAAAAAAGTAAACTTTTCCAGCACGACAGAAGGTCAGCACTAAGAACTGAAAATGGTGTCTATAGGATTGACTAATAGTCATGAGTGACTTTGGCAACAATCAAAACTTGCCAAAGACCATTATTTTTTTTAAAGCATTTTTTTATTATTATTTTTTTAAATAACACACACACACAGAGAGAGAGAGGCAAAGACACAGGCAGAGGGAGAAGCAGACTCCATGCAGGGAGCCAGATGTGGGACTCCCAGGGTCTCCAGGATCACGCCCTGGGCTGAAGGTGGCGCTAAACCTCTGAGCCACCAGGGCTGCCTGCAGAAGATCATTCTTGTAGAGAATTTACCAGTACATCAACCAAAGTATATCATAATTAATGAAATACAAAGCCAACCATCTCATCAGAAAATGTTCAGCTTCACCATTGATTTAAAATTTTTGAATGAAAATATCACTTACTTAATTGGCAAAAATTTTAAAACTGACAAGCTTGAGAGTACCTAATATTGCTAAAGGTATAGGTAAATTGTAGGAACACGATTTTTGATAAAATGTTAATTAGAATATTGCTTTTGAGGGCTGGTCTTCTCTCTCAGATAGGTAGACAAAGACAGAGATATCCTTCAATTCATTAATTCTTGCTAAATATATAAAGATATAATAAGAAAATATAAAGCTACGTGTATACAGATACTGATTATATTGTTGTTTACAATAAAGACAACTAGGAACAAATTAAATATGTTTCAAAATTAGTATGGTTTTGGTTCTTCTTGGAATCATCTAAAGTAACACGCATGGACATGAAAGGCAATAATATATTGTTGAATAAACAAAAAACAGCCACGCAGAGTATCATACTTCTATAATACCATCCCATTCTCAAAAATTAGCATAGGTAAAGAGATTTCAAGAAGGGAATTAATCAAGATATTAACAACTGTTATCTCTGGGTCATGGGAATTGAACACATTACATATAGATCTTATACTTGGACTTGAATTATCCAGTGGAAAGGTGAGATCTTTATTATGAATCACAGCAACAAAACTAACGTGGTATGTAGTGAAAACCAGCTATACAGATCAAAAGGGGGCCTGGGAGTAGTGGAGGCATGTACCAAAATGGAGAGATTTTTCAGAGGGAAGAGTTAAGGTATGGCTCTACTTCAAAATGGATGAAAGTATGTATCTTGTCCTAAAGTAGGCTGGCTTAAACAGTGTTTCTCAGTGAAAGGTGCTGATATCGCATAGGACAGGGCAATTTTTCATTATATTGAATATCCCTTGCATGGGAAAGTAAGTGGCATACCTACTTCCACCATCAAGTCTTTTCAGCAACCAAAACATTTCTACACATTTGCAAATATCCTCTAGGCAGTTGAAAATCACTGGCCTAGCAGATTTGACCACTTCTCGTGATTTATGATTACCACAGAAACTAATTATAAAAACTAAGTTCTAAGGAATAAATATGAGACGAATGGGTCATTATGATATCTAATCAACATTTAGGTCACTCAAATAGTATTCTAAAGCTTTCTTCTCTAATGCCTCTGCTTTATAAGATTATTTTGCTTTTAATCCATCTCTAATAATTTTTTAAACTTTTATCTTTATTTCTTTTAACTCTATATTTACAACTGTACATTTTTTAAAAACCAGATTTAAACCATATTTCTGATATTTTATTATTTATGGATTAAATGGCATTTAATGAAAAACAGAGGATTACTTGTAAATTTGTTGACACAGTTACATTTCACTACAAGAAAAAAGGATGGCTTCAAAAGAAAAGGTACTAGGTATTCGGCGGTTAAATACATATATTGGAAGGAACTAGCGGACATACACCAAGTTATACTCTACTACAGCAATTACTCTTCCTGTATCTGTTCCAGATCATTTAAGAATTAGAGATGCATGGGAACCTGGCCTTTCACTATACAACAAAGTGGCCGTGTTGTGACATCAACAAAAATAGTAATTTCTATGCCTTTCTTTACCAGTAACTGTTTCTACAAACTACTATCACCCCAAACTGTAAATTAGGTAAAAATGGTAGAGACTCCCATTTCTATTTTTTATTAACTCTCACTAATGTAAATTTATAAAGATTCTATCTTGTAAGGAAACATTTCAATGGAATTTAAAGTACTACAAGAAGAATCTATAACGCCCGGCTTACCAAGCATACTGCCAGCCACCAGGATATCGAAGAGTGTGTCTGCATAGCGGCGATAATCTAATCTTGAGCCTGTGGAATCCAGAAACTTGGCTACAGCTTCAAGGTCATCACCAGCTTCATTAAGCCCCTGGACAAGTGTATCCCTGAAGACTGTGGGTTCGAATTTCTCTTTTTCATCTAAAATGAATAAGTCACAAAATTATTCCTTTTATTTACAATCCTATTCCCAAATGCAACCATACATTTCCTTTGTTCATTGGATAGTTTGATATTATATTTGACAGTTTGATTATTTAAAACTTGGAAGACAACTAAGCTTTTCTGCTAGATTTACAGGTTTTGAAACCCCTTGTTTAAATATTTATTTGATCAAATAATTTATTTTTCTATTTAAAAGGACCAGAAGAGTATATTAACTCTAACATACAATAAAATTGATAATTGATCATTTCTTTCATACATATGATTGGCCAATGTAATCTATTAACCCTAACTATCTGAGAAAAAATAAGGTGTAACGATCAAAACTTAAAATTTTGTTTCATTTACGATAGAAGAAAATGACTCAGGAAGAAGTACCTAAGAATAAAGGAGAATACACAAATGAACAAAATAAAGATTAGGAGAGAGGAAATAAAGAGGGACATCTCTTTTTTTTATTTTATTATTTGTTATTATTATTATTACGGACATACATTAGTTTTATCAGTATATCAATTATAATCGACATATCAGTTTCAGATGTGCAGCATAATGATTCAGTAGTTGTCTATTTTGCAAAATGATTACCACAGTAAGTCTAGTTAACATCCACCACCATACATAGTTAGAATTATTTTTTCTTGTGACGAGCACTTTTAAGATCTTCCCTCTCAACAACTTTCTATTGTACCATACAGTATCATTAACTTTAGTCATCATGCTGTACATCACATCCCTGGAACTTATTTATTTCACAACTGGAAATTTGTTCCTTTTGACTACCTTCACCCATTTTGCCTGCCCCTCACTCCCTGCCTCTGGCAACCACCTGTCTGTTCTATGAGTTTAGGGTTTTTGTTTTGTTTTGAAAGATTCCACACATAAGTAAGATTATATGGTATTTGTCTCTGACTTATTTCATTTATCATAATGCCCTCAAGGACTATTCAGGTTGTCCCAAGACTTCCTTATCTTTATGGCTCAATAATATTCTATTATATATATGTATATATCACATTTTCTTTATCAATTCATCCACATTGATGGATACTTAGGCTGTTTCCATACCTTGGCTATTGTAAATAATGCTGCAATGAACATGGGGGTGACTGTATCTTTTCAAAATTACTGTTTTCATTTTCTTCAGATAAATACCCAGGAGTGGAATTACTGGATTATATGGTAGTTCTATTTTATTTTATTTTTTTAAAGATTTATTTATTATGAGAGAGAGAGAGTGTGTGTGTACATGAGAGGGGAGGGAAGGGGAAGAAAGAGGAAGAGAACATCCTCTAGCAGACCCTCTGCAGAGCAGAGTCCAATGCGGGGCTGGATCCCAGGACCCTGAGATCATGACGTGAGCTGAAATCAAGAGTTGGGCACTTAACCAACTCAGCCATCCAGGAGCCCCTTTAAATTTTTTTTGAGGAACTTTAATTCTGTTTTCCATACTGGCTATGCAACTCTACACTCTCATCAACATTTCATGAAGATTTCCTTTTCTCCACATGTAATGAACACTTATTTCTTTTTATAAGATAAGTTATTCCAGGACACTTAAATATTTAATATATACCATGAGCTATATATATATATTTATTGCTTCAGAGCAGATGTTCTCAGTCTTTTTGGTCTCATGACCCCTTGCCACCGTTAAAAAAATACTGAGGATTCCAAAGAGCTTTTTTCTGTAAGGAGGTTATTTTTATGGATACTTACTCTATAGAAATTAAAACAGAAAATTTTAAAATATTTATCAAATTAAAATAGTGTGAAGACAGGCTTTTGTTTAATCTCTTTAATGCTTGGCTTAATAGCAGACAGATGGATTCCCATATCCACGGAGTGCAATCTGTTGTGATATCACACATCATGGAGCCTCTGGGAAACCACCATAAACCATGAGTGAATGTGTGAAAGAGGCAAAAGGTATCTCACTATTATAACGAAAATAATTCTGAATTTGTAGAATCCCAGAAAAGGCTTCAGAGGATTTAGGGATATAGATACATGGAGCTTCCTACCCTCAGCAGACTCAAAGGCTTCTTGTGGAAGGTTAATTTGGAGTCAGATCTTATTTTTTATTTATATTTTCATTAATTCTTGTGCCCAATGTGGGGTTCTATCTCTTGACCCTGAGATCAAGAGTCCCATGCACTACCAACTGAACCAAGCAGGGCTCCTGGAGCCAGATCCTAAACAAAGCAAGGATCACATACTGTTGAAAACAAGTGAACATGACAAATCAGAGGTCAGAAGAGGCATAAAAAAAAAATCACTAAATTAAAGGCAAAGGTAGGATTCAATTCAAAGGACTTCACCTTCACTCCCCTTTCAGAAAATGATTTTAGATGTGGAAAGGAGGGGCAAATGATGAACCAGAAACTTCACAAAAATCCTATCATAAATACCTTTAGGGAGATAAGTGGACACTGCAACTGTTAAGAAGGAGGAGGAGGAAGAGGAAAGGAAAAATAAAATGTCAAAAAACGAAGAATCCTTTCATGAATAAAGAAGTTCTGGGAAATGGAAAGTATGATAGAAAAAGTTAAAAACTAAATACAAGAGCTGAAAGAGAAAGCTGAGAATATCTTTTAGAAACTAGAAAAAAAATCAAGAAAAAAAGACCTATTAAATAGGAGCAAAAAAGATAAGAAAAAGGGCAGACCAGTCAAATGTTCAAATAATAATAAGACATTATTTTTAAGATTTCATTTTTTTTTTTAGTAATCTCTACACCCAATGTGGGGTTTGAACTCACAGCCCCCAAGATCAAGAGTCGCATGCTCTGTCAACTGAACCAATCAGGAACTCAGAATTTTTTTTTTAAAGGAAAGAAATGATTTAAAAATTCCAAGAAGGTTTAAAGAGTTGAAGGACATGAGTTTCTCAGTAAACAGCTGTAGGACACCCAGCACAAAGATTCAAAGAGGACACTGGATAAGACTCCTATCTTATCATGTAATCTCAATGCTGGGAACAAAGCAGCTATTGGAAGTTTAAGGGGCAAAACCCCAAAGCAAATACAAACTATCAAAAAACAGAATGACATTAAATTGCTCAATAGAAATACCAGAAACCAGAAGAAATTTCTTCAAATTTCTATGGGAAAATGACTCCCAAACTCTTAAGTCTGAGATTCAGTCAAACTATCAACCAAATGTAAAGGCAGAATAAATGGATTTTGAGACATTCATGGCCTTGAAAATGATGTTTCTCATACACTCCTTTCTAAAAAGCTATTGAAGCAGACACTCCACCAAAATGAGAATCATTCATGATCTCATGATCTTACTAAGTCATGAGATCCCAGGAAAAAGAGAAAAAAAATTATGAGCCAGGGAACAGGACTCTCCTGGAGAGTGGTAAAAAGACATTTCCAACATTTCATACTGCCAGCTGTACTGCTGACCTGGAAGGCAAACCGCCCGGGAGGGTATTTCCCTCTGATAGTATAATGATATATGATGAGAATTCCTAAAGTTTTTGTATTCAAAGATTTTTACGCAATGAAGGGAAATGTTAGTATTGAGTGTTAAGATACGGACAATGACGACTGACAAAAAAGGATAAATTAGGAAATGTTAACTCCAAAGACAAAATGAAGTTCAGAAAAAGAGGAATAATCAAGGAATAGCTGAACTGTGACTAGCATGCACAAAGTCACAGTAATATAAACCCGAAACAGTGGTCTGACTAAAACCAACCCATAGTAAAGAGAAACAAAGAGACATCTGCAGGTGGGTAGGGCTGTGTAGAGAGCTAAATCCTTATCTTCCATAGTATCAAGTGCAGACCATGTAAGAATGTTACGTGGTCACGTGAATGTAAAAATTTTAAAAAGCATATAAAGAGTGGAAGGCATTCCTCTGGGGAGACGATCTGCTGTTGCTGTAACATGCTTTGCAGGATGGTTTGAGCATTTAAACCAGGTGACTCTGATACATTTCAAAACTCCTTGAAAACCAGACAGTGCCTGTCTGGTCTGTACAGACTGACTGCTTAGACTGGTCAAGTAGAAAGGGTGAGTTGTAAGGGGTTAAACACCACAGCATCAGAGAAGCCAGAGAAGAATGGCATTCCCAGTACCAGTCAGAGTCACACTGCGTAAGATGCCATAAAGACAGACGTAACTTGAACATAATTTTTCATGAACAAGAGATAAAAGTCCTTTTGATGCCCTAAGCAAAACACTATGCAGCCAAGAACATGCAAATGTTGACGGTGGAAAAAAAAATATAATTAAGGGCTTGTTTTGTAGAAGGGGAGGAAGAGAATGGGAACTCCAGAGGAACAGATGACGAGAAGCCAGAGAGGAGGAAATGGTGACTGCACAGAAGGAACTCACTGGCAAGCATGGGACACTACCCCCTAACCCTTGGGGTCCAGCCAAAAGATAATTCTCCTTCCCCCTTGACAGAAAAAGTTTTCTTTCTGTTGATGAGAACAGGAGAAGCCAAAATGCCACAAGTTGTTTAGGGTCTCGTAACTGGCTTTCAAAACCAATTGAGGCCATTCCCGGGATGGCTCTACAACGTCCTTGAATGCTGCCCCGGTGGAGAAGCAGACTTTGATGGTTTGAAAATGATGATTGTGAGGCATTGGTAAATGAAAGTTAGTAAACAGGTTAAACTCTAGGCTCTGCTAAGAATTCATGCAGAGGATTCGGTTTTGAATGGGAGAGACAACATAACAAAACTTGTGTTTGTACAAAGCCCTTCGTTTCAGTTCTGTTTTCCCAAGAGATTTGCCAAGGAAGAGGAAAGTAAGAGAAGGAAGACAGTATGTCATGGCCCAAGATACTTCAACAGTGAGCAATCATGCATCAGATCGAGATAATCCTGTGCAGTTTGGGAATCTTACAACGTAGTGAAGGCATGCGAGGATTAATCATTCTTTTCTAGGTTGAAAAGAAGCTCGCACCTGATAAAATGTCCATCCAGAGGAATACAAAATTCCCCAACAAGAAAATGGCAAGAACACTGATTAAAGTTTGGGGAAACAGGACATTTTACTCCCAAGTTCCTTTTTTATCTGAAACATTATACGTACTTTGTATTTCACTTGAGGACAGTCTAGCAAAAAATACTAATAAAATCCTAGTGAAAATATGCTATAACTTCCTTGAGTTTCCGTTTGGCAGGTCAAACCTCCCTTGAAGCGGGAACTATATAATTAGGGTCTAAAATTTACACTGTGTTGGTGAATCACAAGGGTGACACTACAGAGTTAGTCATGCTGGCCCTTATACTGACAGAGAAACAGGCTTACTTCTGATGCTCAAATATGCCTGTAAGTTACCTAACCATATTTCTTTCTCTGGAAATCTCCGTAACTGGTTAATATAACATTTTCCCTATTGTTAATTAAGTGATAAAAACAAAATCTACATCCTTTTTTGTTTTGTTTTACATCCTTTTTTGAATGTCACTGAAGTATAGTAAATGAACAATCATGGGTTTTCTAACTATTCACATACCTGTATAATTTACATATTTATATTTACATACAAACATATATATTTCAACATTTGAAGGTATACTAGATTAGTTGCTAACACTTATTATAAAACCAAGAGGTGACTTAAAACTGCCAAGACAGATGAAAAATCTCAGGGAGAACCCAGGGTATATGCTCACTCTTTATGCCTGCAGTTGTTCCTTTTTTTCTCTCCTATTTTCACTAATTTTAATCCAATTTCTCTACAAAATTTATAGGGAGGCTAGTTCTGTTATTAAATATTTCATTTAGCTAAACATAATAATGGCTCAGGGGAGAAATTTCCATTGTTTCAAATTCCCACAAGCCACACTAGAAAACATACTTTCTTTGAAGTCGTATCATAAACAAGATGTGTATATTTCATAAAGAAAGAGTCTGAATGGATTTCTAAATGTGTCCTATCATAATGTTTAATTTTGATGTTAAGCAATAGAAAATACATTTTTTTTTTTTTACTAGCTTGGCACGGAAGAGCATTATTAGCTTTGCTAGCAAACAGATTTAAACTGAAGACAGAACCTCAGAAGACAGCCTATGAAAATGACCTTGAAATATCCTCACTAGATTTTTTTTTTTGCCTCAGCTCTACAAAATTGCCAACCATTTATCTGAAGTCAGATTTATCATAATAGCAAAAGAAAAGCCAAAACATGATAAATCATCAGGAGGCAATTCACCATTGTGAAGTGTAGAAAATGAGGTTGACTCCATTTTTTTTTTCCCAGCCAGCAATTTGGCACAAAATAGCTCAAGTGCCACTTAAATCCCCAATAGACTTGAGTTATATAAATCCAGATCAACTGACAAATAATATATATTTCCGGGTAGCTCTCTCAGAGTATTCCAGCACAGCAAGACAGAGGCACAATCTTGCCCACCAAATGAATCAAAGACAAACCATCTCAGAATCAGAGAAAACCTTTCCAGTTCAAAACTAAAGACTGACTCTAAGGCCAGTTTACTTGTTGAATCAAGTCTGCTGTTGTGCAATCCTTGGGCCCTCTCTTGGCTTTTAAGCTCAGTTACCGTGAATCAGCGTCGCACGAATACAGCTGTTCTAAAGCTGTTCGAGCTGGAGATCCAGGTCTGAGATTAACACGTTCCCCCAGTGGGCAGGCAAAGGCGAACCTTTCTGCACCTCACAGTTGGGCATATGTTAGATATTATCACATTACCAGGCTCAACAATACCCTAACTATAATTAGCTTTCTGAACTACATCATTCCTTGCTGATGAAGTCCTTTTGAAATTATCCATATCATTTTTTCCCCCATGACAGCTTTAAACAATGAGATAATGAAGGTGCGTTGACTGTAATGCCTTGTATTGATACCAGCATCTGGATTTCAACCGGGAAATGTAGTGGGGACACAGTTCGTAAGACCAAGATGAGGACTTAGCAGAGGGAGATGGTTCAGGCCATGTGCATTAGCTTATAGGGATGAGACAGGAATGAAAAAAAAAGGAAAAGGGGAAATCACAAGACATACTGTGCCAAATGACCACCTTTTGGCTACTTCACAGTTTTTTAATGTTCATTTTTTAGTAGGAATGTGAATTCCCAGCAAGCAGCACTTAAGAGTTAAATGTAGCCTCCACTGCTATCCAGTGACTCTCTGGTGAACTCCTCTACTCCAAATGACTGATTGCATTGAGACTTCCTTACCTTTTGCCAGGTTAGACTTGCTACTTATGCAGACATAGTATTTACCCAAGAGAGCATAAGCTGCAGGGGCTACCTCAACGTTGGAAATGCCAAAGTCATATAATATGGGTTATTGATTCAACAATTTAGCACTTGCTGTCCATTATATGCGGTTATGCTTCATAATCAGCAATGAGGCCTACAGAGGGATATCCAATCATCATTCATCTTTCTATATGATACTTTATTAAATGTTTCAGTTATTGTCCTCAGTGTTAGTCAACATAATAATTTCATATTACGTTTCCCTTTAAAAAAAGTTTCCTTATTAAGTTATGGCTCAACTATTTTTTTTTCTAAGCCCAAAAGGACTTCTATATAATTATGCAAAACTGATGAAAAATGTAAAACTATTCTTTACACAGAAAGGATGGTAAGATGAACATAACAGAAAAAGAAACCACTCATACAAATAGAAATGTTACCGGTCACCAAATGGGGCCTCTTACTACTTTTCCCACAATAAAAGACACTTGAAAATATCCTGAGTTTTAAAGATATTTAGGTAGTCAAGCTTTACCATCTTTGTTCTCAACATTTTCTTAAGAGCAACAGAGATAGCAAAACTCAGATAACAAATGCTGAGATCAAAAATGAGTAGATTTTATTATCTATTATCTTCATAGCTTCATAGGAGAGTGAGGAAACCTGCCAGATAGAATCATCCTCCTTTAGTAGATAGACACCAAGTTCAGACAAGTTAAATGACCTGTCCAAAATCAAACACAAATAACTGGCTGTTCAGAGGCTTGAACACAGAATTTCAGATTCTACATCCAGAGCTCAAAAGAAGATAAGTAGGGAGGTTCAGTGGAAACAAGGATAATTCTAATCCTTCCCCAATCTCATAACTTGGTCAGAACTTAACTCACTCTCAAAAAGCCCCATACACACGTGAATACACAGCACAACCTACCCCTTTTCCGAGTTTTGAACCGCTGGCCTGTTAGCACTGGCTTCTGATGCTTATTCATAAAATTTCTAAAAAAAAAAAAACAACAACAAAGAAAATAAAGATTATGTATTTCAAACAAGCAGTTCACATAAAAATTGTATGGATAATAAGCATACATTCCACCTCAGCTATCCTGAATACACTTTTTTAAAGCAAGGTGTGATTGTTAACTGTTGAACTAGCCAAACTTTTAAAATTGAATAACATCTAGTGTTGACAAGAGTCAGAGGGAAAGCAACCACAGACATAAAATTTGGCATAGGGAATAAACTCCATGCTGTACTTGGGGGAAAGCATTTGGCAAATGTAAATATTTACATGTGCATAACCTGAGTTCAGCAATTCTTTTACAAGAAATTTACTATTTCACCCACACAGATATGCGTATTTATGCCCATATGCACTCGTGTGTAAAGGGATTTAGTTGCAGGATTGTTGAATAAAAATGTGCAAAGCTAAATGCCCATAAACAGTGGTTTGGTTAAATAAGTTGTAAGAAGCCATCAAATGGAAAGTTATGAAGCTTTACAGAGGAATGAGTTAGGGTCTAAATGCAATGCTACATTTCTTGCCCTGGTTGCCTCTCTGATCATGTTTCAGACATCTGTGTCTCTCCTACCACTCACTGTGCTCCAGCCATCCTGCTGTCTTCTTCAGTGTGCCAGACAAGGCTGCCTCTCCTCCGGGCCTTCCCCAGCCATTCCCATGGCTCACTATCTGCCCTCATTTGAGTGCTTCCTTTTTCAGAGGTCTTCCCTGGTCACCTCTACTAATGGTGCCCCTTGTCAAACACTCTCTCTCCTTATCCAGCTTTATTTATCTTCACAGCCCTTAGTAGCATTTCACTGTGCTACTGCCATTCACTATGAGCTGTTTGCCTATGGTCCATTTCTCCCACTAGAGTGTAACCTCCATCTGAGCAGGGACTTTGTAGGTTTTACTCAAAACAGTATGTTTGGCACCTAAAACAACACCAAGTGAAGAGTTCGCATTTGGCAAATAATTGTCAAATAAGCTGTTGCACAGACATAGATGTTCAAGGCATACTGTCAATGGAAAAAAACAAGCTGAATAAAAGTGTGGAGTGTAATTTTTTGGTTAAAAAGGGAATATACATAATATTTGCTTTTCTCTACAAGGAAAATTCAAGGATGACTAACTTATCTTCAAAAAAAGTTTAAAACAAACAAACAAAAAACCCTGCCCCATAAGACCTCTTACAAATTAAGAATAACCTTGTGACATTAATACTATAATTTGAAAATATATCCAGATTGCCAAAATTATGAAGACCACGTAATTAAGAAAATGTCAAGCAAATTATTTAATTGCCTTTCAAAGTTCTTTTTAAATTGTGATTTGAAAATGTCTAGATTTTTTAATTAAGTCACTATTAAACAATCAAGAAAATGTACTGTGTTTAAGCAAACTAATTATGTCTCAAAGTTTAAAAAGACCCTTAAGAACATGTAAAAATTATTCAATTTATATGCCAAAACTTTTCTACACCATGAAAGAAAATCTATCCTCATACAGAAAGTAATCTGTTTATCACTTGAACTTTAATCATAATTTTAAAAGCGAAATTGTTTAAAAAATAAAGTAACAAGCACAAAAAGTAATTTCTTTTATGGTTTAAGGAAAGAGAAGCTTTTTTAATCCTATAGTGAACTTAATATATCATGCTATGAGATATAAAGATGCTGACTAAGCCCAAATCCATGCCCTCAATGTGCACAGGGTCTGGCAGAGACAAAATCCACAAACATTTACAATAGAATAGCATTACAGATCTAGAACAAAGAGTAGAGAAAGTGATCCTCTGGGGGGGGGGGGCACAGCGGGGGTGGGGTGGTGTAGCAGCTACATACTGAAATAGTTATAAATGCAATAAATGTCATCAATGAAATCTCATTTTATTTGCTGGAAGTTGGAAATACAGCTGCATTATTTACATTCACTACAATACACAGAAATTTCCTTGTTGGCATTTTTAGTAGATTCATTTTAGATTAGCAAACATTTCATTGGGGTACTTATAATGAATGTGTGTGTTTCTTGTTTCTACACCTCCCAAACACTACAAATATCATAAAATATTTTCTTGGGCTAGCAAAGAAAAAATATCTGTTAAAGAGTTTAGATCTCATACTGCAATATAACAACAAAAATATACTCCAAGTAGCCTGAAGCTTTTCTAGCAAGTGAACATGCTGCAAAGTTACTGTTTGCTAAAGATGTCTCTGCTTTGGAACAACAAAAAAAAAATTTAGAACTGCGAGCCTTTTCTAAAAGTTTTATTTACAGTCCAGAATATAAACTCACAGAATTCTCTAACTCTACCTTGGCATTCTGTTGCTGTTTTTCTGATGAAGAATTACCACAAAACAGCCTATGACAGAATTACTCTATTTCAAAAATCTTTAGCTCCATTTACACTTTCTTCAGTTCTAAATACAAGTTTGTTTCTTCATGGTTTAGTTTTGTGACCTTATTTCTCACAGCCTCCTATACTGCATGTGGAAAACAAAATAATAACGTGTAAACAAAAAAAGCATACAAAGATTTTGAGTGTACAGCAATAACATTTAAAACAAACACAAACAGAAACTCACCTACTGGTATTGAAAGATTAAATGGAGATATTCTGTTCACCAAAAGTCTGTATTGCTCAGCTGTTACTATTTAGAGCAGAAGCTTGGCTTGTCTCTAAATTTAGCAGTTCGTGCTACATTATAATCTGCTTCGGTGAGGGTCAGGCTTTATAAGGCACTCACTGAAGCCCTGGTGGAAGAGAAGCAGGGGCACTCTGAATAAGAAACTGTGCTAGCTTAAACCTGGGAAAGTAACAAAGAATAACAAAGACAGTTCTAGGAGGCCAAAAGCTTATTTTTATTAGGTCACATTATAATTTACAACTTGAAAACAACTAACTAAAAATACATATACACATATGTATATATGCACTATTTTATTCATTTATTATTTATTTATTAATAAAGATTTTATTTATTCATGAGAAGCAGAGAGAGAGAGAGAGAGAGAGAGAGAGAGAGAGAGCAGACACACAGGCAGAGGGAGAAGCAGGCTCCATGCAGGGAGCCCGATGTGGGACTCGATACCGGGTCTCCAGGATTAGGCCCTGAGCCAAAGGCGGCGCTGAACTGCTGAGCCACCTGGGCTGGCCCTACCTATATGCACTTTTTAAATCAGAGTTTAAGGGATCCCTGGGTGGCGCAGTGGTTTGGCGCCTGCCTTTGGCCCAGGGCGCGATCCTGGAGACCCGGGATCGAATCCCACGTCGGGCTCCCGGTGCATGGAGCCTGCTCCTCCCTCTGCCTGTGTCTCTGCCTCTCTCTCTCTCTCTCTCTCTCTCTCTCTCTCTCTCTGTGACTATCATAAAAAAAAAAAAAAGTTAAATCAGAGTTTAACAGAATCCTCAGAGGCAAAATTTATCTGGCGTACAACATATGTGTATATATACACACACATTCAAAAACTATAAGCCAAACAAACAAAAGTTCATGTCCTCCTCCCCAAATGGAAAAGCTCCATTTGGGGGGGGGAACATGGTTTAAAATAGTATTACAATATGTAAAATGGTTAAAAGACGAATGGATTTAAATATTTCATGTTACCTAAGAGACTAAATTTCTTGGATATTCCACAAAAGATGATAAAATATTAAAAAGATTCAACCCATCAAAAATTCAAAATTAAGTACTTTATTAATTAAATAAGCATTTTTGAATAAACTCCTAAATTGAAAGGCCCAATTGAAACATTTTTTTAAGTTTAACATATTACAAAATAAATTTTCACCCATCTCCCCTCTGTTAATATCCTAACTGCCCTGGGTCCTTTGTAGATTCTATCCCTTACTCCCAAATGACTCTGGGCCCATGTGTGACAATGGATCAGCAGTTCAAATGGATTGGCCTCTTTGGCAACTGTGTACTAATCCTGCCGGTTGCCCAGCACACTTTGAGTAGATTGACACATTGTGTGTTGCCTTGCCTGGCATTTTTCTTCTTTAATTCCCTTCATTTTGGAAAGAATCTTATCTACCAGAGAAGGACTAACTTTCTTGTTTCTAGAAGGGGATGACTGTTCTTTGGGTCTGGATCATCTTTGAACTACGATAATCTGCCTTATATCATATGTTATACTGCTAATATATACATATAACTATGTGATTCAAAGAACTTCAACATTATGAATATGATATGCTACATAAAGTGAGGTAGCAATCTTCTATAAGGGAGAAAAGAGAATAGTTTAGGTCCTGTGAGCCACATGGTGTGGCTCTGCTGTTAGAGCCTGGAAGCAGCCATAGACAACATGTAAACCAGTTATTCCAATAAAACTTTATTTACAAAGTAAGTGGTGGATCAGACTGGGCTCTCAGGTTGTGGTCTGCCATACCTGCTTTCTAAAGCAGTGTATCCAACAGAATTGTCTGTGATGGTGGAAATGTTCTGTATCTGTATTGTCTAAAATGGAAGTTACTAGATGCATATAGTCATTGAGCCCTTGAAATGTGGCTAGTGTATCTGAGGAATTTAAATTTATTTAATTTTCATTAATTAAAATGAAAATAGCCAATATGACTAGTGGTTATGTTGGTCAATCCAGTTTTGAAGAATTCATTATGGGCCAACACACGTCATTCGATAATAGAGGTGAAAGTATATCCAAAGAATAGAAAGATTTTCATTAATTAAAAAAAAAAATTAAGTAGTTCTGAGGAACATTTTGCCCAAATTTCAAAACCAGGTGGCTATCGTGAGAAAGAAAAAAATAACAAACTTCAAAGTGAAAGTCTCTGTGTGTAGTAAATAACCATGGGAGAAGGAGGAGGAGGAGAAGGAGGAGGAGGAGGAGGAGGAGGAGGAGGAGGAGGAGAAGGAGGAGGAGGAGGAGAAGAAGAAGAAGAAGAAGAAGAAGAAGAAGAAGAAGAAGAAGAAGAAGAAGTCGTCGAAGAAGAAGAAGAAGAAGAAGACCACGACGACGAAGACGGCGGAGGCGGCAGCGGAGGAGGAGACCACGACTTTCGATTCTAAGATAATAAAAGTTATAGGGCAACAATATCATCTCCAAAATATAAGGTGTTTCACAAAGATAGTAATACTAGCACACAAAACTAGTAATATAACTGAGCCACTTCACTGCAACATTCTCAGGAAGTACTTTGTGTTTAGGAACACAAAACCACCTTTTATTCTATATTCCAAAAGAGCAAAATAATGTAGCTTTTAATAAAAAGAACTAAAAATTGCCCATAGTTATAAACTATTCTCTTTTCCATTAAAGCTAAAACACTAAGAACATACATCAAATCCTTCACAGAAACAAAGTTGTAATGTCCAGGAGTCATTTGGGTTGATAACAATGATCTCAAGAGAAGCAAAAATAATTAAGCTGCACTCAGAAAGTGTAAATTATAATATTCTAAAGCAATAGACCAGATAAATGCTTACAATAACACTGCACTTTGTTGCCCAGAATAACATTATCTTGTATAATGTCCTTATAATGATTCTGTACCAAACAGCCTCTCTATAATCAAAATCACCTAGCCTCTACAAAATGCTTCTTTGTATCTCCAAGCAAATTCTATGTGGGTTTTAGTTCTTATGATAATTGGAAAAAAAATAACAACAATGAAATTTAAAACAGTAGCCTACCTATAAAAGAAAAATGTTTCTAAATAAAATCAGGTATTCTCTTTTTTAGTACAAAAATACTGTTATATTCATATCCCCTTACTCTCTTATCCTTTTTTTTTTTTTAAAGATTTTATTTATTTATTCATGAGAGACACACAGAGAGAGGCAGAGACACAGGCAGAGGGAGAAGCAGGCTCCAAGTAGGGAGCCCGATGTGGGACTCGATCCCGGGACTCCAGGATCACGTCCTGGGCCAAAGTCAGGTACCAAACCACTGAGCCACCCAGGGATCTCTCTCTTATCCTTTTAAAAAAAAAAAAAAATTATTTATTCATGAGACACAGAGAGAGAGAGAGGCAGAGAGATAGGCAGAGAGAGAAGCAGGCTCTCTGTGAAGAGCTTGATATGGGACTGGATCCCAGGACCCCAAGATCACAACCTGAGTGAGCCAAAGGTAGATGCTCAACCACTGAGCCACACCCAGGTATCCCTCTATTCTCTTATCCTTAATGGTATAAAAGAAGAAAAATAATCTTTCTTAAAGAGCATCACACTTAATAGTTTACTCCTCAAAAATTTACAACTATGTATTTCCAGAGGGACATTAATGGTGGAAACTAGATTGTGCTAAGCAACCACCTTACAAGGAAAGAATGGCCAATGCCCAAAGGAATCATGCTGTGAAAAAAAGAGTACTAAGAGCTGTTTATCTAAATCTTTTAAGATATAAAGGCATCATGGTCAAATTTTCATTATCACATTTCACAATTTTACACCTTAAATTTATTAGTATACCTACCTTATTTCTGAATGCTGATATTTTGCTTTCCTTTTAGCAAAAACAGAAATATTCTAAAAATTACATTTGAAGCATAACATATAACCTTTTCATTGAAATAAATTAAGATAATGTGTAAGCTCATTTATTTTTTTTCTAGTGAAGTTAATTTAGAATACTTTCAAGAATTGGAAATAAAGTCCTAAAATACTTTCATCCTATCAATCCATGCCCTCTGCTTACTTTGACTTTTAAAAAGTATCCTGGGGGCATGCAAATTCCCTTTTCTGGGCTTCCACTTGCCCTAGGTGCAATCTCTCCTAGGTCCTTCCCTTCTCTTAATAACTGACCAAGCATCTCCATTCGGCTTTACAGATGGGCTAATCTTGCTGATGTGATTCTTAAGTCTCTCAAATCCTGTTAAGGTGGAAACAGGCAAACACACCCACCAGACATTGCAGCACACTTTGGCTTTTAGAAAACCCACCCCTCAAATAAAATGTTTCAAAGTATTTTAACAGCAAAATGCCCTCAAGCCTCTGTTCTTGGTAAGTGAAGACACTTGGAACTTTTGTCTACCAGACAACAGCATTGTGATAACTGTATACCTACAAGATTTCAAACCATAAATTCTGAGAGCTTAGAGGAAATAGTGGTATAAAACCAGGAAATGCCCAAAAATTGGGCAGTTGTTGTTTAAATATGTATTAATTTGTATTTTGGGGTGCTTATGTGTTAAGCATTGTTCTAGGGCAGGGGTCTCATCCTGGGGTAATTCTATCCCCTCAAGGAACGGGTGGCAATGTGTGTAGACATTTATTTTGTCATGCTGGGGATGTAGGGATGCTACTGATGTCTCCTAGGTAGATGCTATGGATGCTGTTAAGTAATGGACAATGCACAGGAGAGTTCCCCAAAACAAAGGATTCTCTGGTCCAAAATTTTAATTGTGCCAAGGTTAAAAAATCCTACACTAAAAAGGAAAAATACTATTTGCAAAACCAGAGATTTGTTCACACTATTTAAAAACTATCCACATATATGGAAACATACCAGAGCAACAACCAGGCGGATATTTCCTCGAATCACTTATTTGTTTGCCAAACAGTGACGTTAATTTTAGAGAAAACACATCTATCACTGAGTAGTTTGTCATAGCTAAAATCAAAAGTGCAATTAGTATACAAAATAAATTATTCCCGCAGTCTTTAATACTAATAGCTGTCTTTTCACATTGATAATTTTATATCCTCTGATGATCAGGGGAAAGATGGAGTGTAAATAATAATATGGGATTGAAGAGGGAGGCAG